TACAAATGTAGAAAAAAGTAGTATAAGAGTTGACAAATTTGCAAAATCTGAACCAATGCGTATAATAAAACCGAAGGTTTTAAAAGATTGCCTAACAATTGTATCAATGTGTAAGCTAAATGTTAGCATGTTATCGAACAGAACCCCTAAATCCTTTGTTTGAGTGTCTCTTTTTAAGGGTGTATCTTGAATTTGATAATTGTATCGGATTAATTGACGCTTGCGTGAAAAAGTTACCACCTTGCATTTATCAATGTTCAGGTACAACCTGTTTGCGTTACACCAATTATAAACACTTTCTAAATCGCTTTGAAGGCTCTCGCAATCCTTGTGGCTTGTGACCCTAGTGAAAATTTTTAAGTCATCCGCAAACAATAATCTCTGAGATGAAATTACGGAGGGTAAATCGTTAATGAATATTAAAAAGAGAAAGGGACCAAGAGTTGACCCTTGCGGCACTCCAGATGTAGGAATAAATGATTGTGAGTCATGCCCGTTATAGGAAACAAATTGACGTCGGTTAGTTAGATATGACTTTATTAAATGAACAATAGGGCAACTGAAACCATATTCGACAAGCTTGTTTAAAATAATGTTATGATCAATTTTATCGAAGGCTTTGCTGAAATCTGTGTAAATAACATCAACTTGCTGTCTATTATCTAGTGTTTCAGAACAATATTGCACAAAGCAAGTCAAATTTGTAACAGTTGATCTATTGGGAACGAAACCATGCTGGTAACTAGACAAATGCGTGTTAAATTGTTGATAAAGTTTTTTGTATAGTACTGTTTCAAAAACTTTGGAGAAGTTGCATAGAATAGATATGGGGCGATAATTTTCAACTCTAGATGCCAAACCTGTTTTTAATATCGGGCACACCTTAGCAACTTTCCAAACAGCTGGAAAAGTCCTTTGTTTTAAAGATAAGTTAAACAAAATTGTTAAGGGATATGTTAGAATACAAGAGCAATCTTTAATTAAAAAGGCAGGTATTTGATCAGTTCCGGCGGTCGGTTTGTTTTTTAAGCTTTTTATGGCTTCAATGACTTCCTGTTCAGAAACAGAATTAATATGAATATAAGGGCTGTTGATGTAAACATTATTAATTTTGGCACAGGGGCCTCCTTTTTCATATACACTTGCAAAATATGAACCGAAAATATCAACAATATTTTGAGGAGTATTATAAATTTGAGATTTACACTCAACCTCACTTGGAATACGTGTTACTCCTTTTTTGCTACGTACATAGGACCAAAACTTGTTCGGATTTGTCGTAAGCACCTGTTCAGTTCGATCAGTAAAATTTTTATACAAGATACGTGTTTCTTTTTTTATTAATGCTCGTAAGCGTTTGAATTCATTTTGATAACACAACATACCAGAGGTTTTATACTTTTTGTGCGCTTTTTGCTTCTTGTTTATAAGTTGAATTAAATTTTGTGAAAACCAGAGGGGAAATTTATGTTCATGATTTTTAGTATATGTAGGTACACTTTTGTCAAGCGTCAAACCTAATACCCGATAGAATTCAGTACACGCTGTGTTAATGTCAGTAATAGAAGTTAGAAAATGCCAATCTAAATTCATAATGTCATTGTACAGAGTGTGATAATCTGCTTTCTTAAAGTTATACAGTTTTGGTTTAAACTTTGATTTCAAGTTATTGTTACGTTCGAACTCTAAGTTGATATGAAATTCCAACGCCGGATGATGCTCGTCTTCACGTAGAACAGTACACTGACTTTTAACGATTTGCAAATTCAACTTACTATTAACTAAATCGAGTGTTCTATTATTCACATTACGAATATTATTTAACTGGGAACAACCAACATAATCAAGAAACTGTAATAGTTGGTAACATTTGTTGTCTAGGTGGTTATTTTCTTCGCAAAAGCGAGGGAGATTAAAGTCACCCAAAATTATTATTTTGTCGTCACAAAGTTGATTGAGATGAGACAATGATTCAATAAAATCACTAAATTCGTTAAACGATAAGTTGGGAGGAATATAAACATTAATAATATACATTTGTAAATGTCCAAAAGTCAATTTGCACCCGACAATTTCTATATAGTTGAAAATGTTTGTGAGAAAAGTTAGGTCCAAAATAGAAACGTCAATGGCTGTGTTATGTCTAACGGCTATTAAGACTCCTCCACCTCGAGAAACATTAAGTTCATCATAGTTTCGATCACATCTAAAGACGGTGAACATATTATCCGGGAATAGTTCCGCACTATTGACACTATCACTCAACCAAGTTTCAGTAAGACATATTACATCATAAGAACTGACAATGATTTCATGATAAAATATATTCACTTTAGTGTTTAAACCTCGCACATTCTGATAATAACAATTTAGTTCCAAGTGAGACTTTAGTTTTTTTGATTAGTAGAAATAATTTTGGGGATTCCGTGTACGTACCTAATGGTAATGTTGGTTTCGCCGTTTTCTTGCCTGCTACGCAAGGTGTTCCTCAGTTCCTTAATGTAATTGCGTTGGGCCGGGGTTTGATCAGAGGTAATACGGTACTCCCTAAATTTATCCAAAATTTTGGCTTTGTTTTTTAACATGTACTTAGATTCTGATTCATTATTACATATTACTTTAATAGGACGATTTTTGTTAGGTGCGGGTTTTCCAATCCGAAAGAAGCACAATTTTGAAATATCAATGTTTCCAACTGCATCAACTATCTCAGTAATTCGACTGTTGTCCGCATTGTTAAGGTCATCATATTCTTCAATGTTAAAGATAATAACGTTGGAAGCTCTTCTATTTCTATCAGATATCTCGCTGATTAGTTGTTCTGTTAACAATGGGGATATGTTTTCTAGTTGCGGGGTGAGAAGTTTTTGTTTTAGATCACTAATTTCAGATTGCAACGTAGTAATTATTTTCAATAGGTCAGTCACTTGTGATTTTTCGGTAGTGCATTTATCACAATGGAAAGCTGGACGTTGGATATTATTTGTTGATAGTAATTGTGCATCGGCATGGGAAAGGCCAGAACATATAGAGTGATAAAGCAGATGACACTTATCACATACACAAACTAATTCCTTTTCAAAATTGATCTTTTTATCGCACGTTCCACAATTTTTAAAGATGGGCATTTCGAAAAAGTCAGCTGCACTAATATACACGCTTAATTAAAAGTAAACTTGAGAGCGCTCGCGAAAACACGTCTATATACCTGCACAACTCAACTCACTGTTGGCTAAAGCTATACGCATATTGAATTTCATGCAATTCGGTTCATAACTCACGAAGATGTCAAAAGGGCCTTCCTTATTTTTTGGGCCACCTACAAAATTTCATCCTAATCGGTCTATTCGTTTATGAGTTATCGTGCTAACGGACGGACAGACGGACAGGCACCACAAAATTATAAACTCGCTAGGAGCTCGTTAATAAACTAATTCGTATATCATTATATTAGAAAAAAATCTTCTTTTGATTGATGTCATTCATCTAAGTTAACATGGGGAACAACGATCTGCACAAAACCTTTTTCCCATGTTAATTGCCTATGTTCAGTTTTAAAATATTTACCTACCCGGTATGTAACAGGTAATTTTTTTGGCCTATAATTACTGAATAAAAAGTCTCTCAACGCTTCTTTATGCAAAATCGAATGTGACACTTTTCCGAAACTGATGCAAACTACATCCCGGATGAATATAGAACTAATTCGCAATAATATGCCGTTCTGAGATCGAATGTACTGTCTATTTTGCGTTGAAGTTGAAGTTAGAAGGCAATTCAACGGAAAATAGCGTTCCATACACTATTAATTTAACTTTGTTACATTTCTTGTAAATTATTATTATTAGTTTCAATTCTGGGCAGATTTCAAGGTGTGATAGTATTAAAAATGGGAATGCACAGTATCATTACTGCCATCTGTAGTCCAATAGTCTACATGCCAAGCAATATTACTCTCGAAGGGTATCTGCTCATATAGTAGTTACGCTAGCTTTGCGCTAGCAAGAAAATTGTGTAAATCCAGTTTTCGTTTAACGCCGGTAGAGAATGTTACTTGATACTTGTTTTCAAAATCCACACAATAACTGCGATCTTTATTGCTACAGAATTATGACTACTTTGTTTTAATGTCCTACCATTGGTCCTACTTAGTAAAATCGAAACTTTATGGATCGTTTGTAATCTTTCTTTTAAAGGTACAAATGAAAGCCAGATAAGAGAATTACAACATTTATATGTATACATTTTATAAAAGTATGTCACCTGTGATTTAATCAATTATTAATTCAGTGTAGCTTGTAGTTCCTCTCCGGTGCGACACCGTGTTCAAAACGGAGATTGTGATTCAGGCATTGAATTTATAACTATCAATTCAATGATTCAGGTATTTAAAAAAAGACTTTTCATTAATGTGGTTACAAGACACAATTAATGCTTTTGTGTACATAAAGTAGGCAACACACAATACAACCCAGTCCTTAAGGCCCAGTTCACACTGAACGGACCTGTGGCGGAGACGTGGCACAGACTTATGTCCTCTCCGCGCTGCCCCATGCAAACAAACGATGTATCGCACACTGACGCGACGAAGCACGGTCGGCCGCCTTCCCGCCACCGCCACTTCTTTTCCAAGTCGGTAGTGGCGTATGTGTGGTGACGATATTTCATGTCACAATATCGCCTTCCGAATGTGGTTTGTTTGCGTCCCGTCTCCGCCACGCCGCCGCCACAGGTCCGTTCAGTTTGAACTGGGCCTAAGAATGTTTGATTCTTTTATAATTTCATTGCCCATCACAAAATCCTTAAAAAATCGGACATTAACACAGAAACTATACTCTACATGATTTTCTTGTATGGATCCAGCTAGATAGAAGAAAGCAAAGTTATTGCGTTAAAATGTAAATTTAACTACCTAATACGAATTTCCCAGCTGAGTTCAAGATTTAAATTTAAGGATTAATAACAATAACAATAATAAATGACTTTATTTCATTACCTTGCATAAATATATAAATTAAAATAAGCTGTAAATGTAAAACAAACATTTTAACTAAGGTAAAGATAAAACAAACCTAGTGGCGAGGTTCAGCATTGGGAGACTGGAGACAGCTCCTCTTGCTGATCTTTCACCTAACCACGAAAACATAACTAACCAAAAAGAAAAAGATGACAAGTTGTAACGTTTGCCTAGACAATGTAAATTACGTATAATATGCCCTAGCGAGAGGATGAAAGAAAAAGTATGAAGAACAATACAGAAACACACAGTGGGAATAAAGAACAATGCTATAAGAGTAAATTAAAAAAAACTGGAATGGAACCAAACCATGTGGTCTCAACTAGAGGCGCGACTAAATTAACCATTTCAATAAGGTCCATTTTCCCTAATAAAATGTATGTGAAGTTTTTCAGTTTGTTTAACTAGTCCACGGCAATGATTCTTTTACAATAAAATTTGCTTCATGAATGGATGCTATGGTACAATGCCGAGTGCTGTGCGAGGTACGGTGCTTCGTTACTGCCATCGACTTGACAGACGTAGGTATATTAAAACATTCCCCATCGCTCACAATCACCTTCTTAAGAGAGACCTCAATAGATGCATTCAACTTCCACCTTCTAACCTGGACCATTGATTTCGTTTGTGAATAACTGCGTTGTAGGTAACTGAAGAAATGAATTTTAAAAAAATAGACCACGATGACGAACGTTTTACTATAGAAGTAAACCACCCCAAGGAATACATGTCCGCAAAATCACCATGTATACCCAACCGTACACCAATATTTAATCGATCATTAATTTTCGAAATGAACCTTCCATTCCTAATTCTTGGTCGTAAGTTTTAGTCGCCAATTGCCGACGAGTCTCATCGCATCCGTACCCGTCGTCTTCTAGAAACCAATCCCTATAACTCATCACTTTCTGTGCCCATTGGTCTGTAAGAAATATATTTAGGGCATTTGCCGTGTTTGGAAATTTAATAATCTTACCGGCAAGATGAGTTAGAGACGGATTATCGCCTCCGTATTCTTGTGGTAAGACTGACTGTATATCTCTGCTCACATTTTCCTTCCAGTTGGATTCAGTAAACAAATAAACCTGAAAGCAATTATTACTGCTTTGAATGATAACGCTTATTAAATTCCCTAACCCTTTCCTTGAGTTTGTCACTAAAAAAAGGCCTTGCGAAGTTATTATATATTACTACTAAACCTTTGGGGACATTTATGCCAATATGTCCTTTCATTCTCAAAGGATACATATTCTCCATGCATATGGCACATTTTTTTACCAATGCGGGAGTAAATTGCAGCATGTATCCTGGAGTAAGCAATTTGTAATCTGTTATTATTTGAAATCCAGAAATAATGGAATTATCATCTTCTTTCATTAATATTTCAATACTCATAAAAATGGCTCTAATTAACGCAAGGAATGGTAAATCTGTATTAAAAGTAACTAGAAATGTTTTGGGACCAATGTATCCTTCTTCGTTAGGAAGCAGGGTTATACACCTGAATTTGATATGTACTGTACAAATCGTTTGAAATGCCCATCTCACCCGGATTTCAGTAGAAGTTGAATTTCCTGTGACGTAGCATCTCTACCTCGGAAAAGATCTGGAAGTAACGTTCTTATGGTATAGAAATAATCAATCTTTTGCTTTGCTAGTTGAAGACTCCATTTACAGCCACGTAGAAATGTTATTAGGTGTTGGTCGTCTACAAAAAAATAGTTAATTACATAATAAGTCATGAAAGTGGTCGTTTACATGACGCGGAGGCTTATTGAAAAGTATGAGGACGCGCAGCGTCCGAATATCTCTTTAATGCCTCCAAGTCAGGTGGACTAACTGTCATGAGTGACATTATGTATAAAATTTTACCTGAAACCGCCACATGTAGATAACTTTCCCAAATTAAATTATTCATATGTCTGAAATTTTGATACCTAATCACGCATGCTAAAATCACTTTATTTAACTGTTTCCATAGAGATTTCAAAATAATTAAAACAATCAGTGTCATTTTTAATGCAGTTTATGCTTGGTACTTTTCAACTATACAGTCTTTATAACTCGGTACAAAAGCAGGTATCAGTGAAGAAGAGTACCTACGCGAGACCTTGTTATAATGTAGCCGAAGCTGCGGCCGCCGTAGTGCAATATTCGCTCCCCACAAAGTCAAGAAAGATGTACGAAAAGGCGTACAAACCTTTTAATGACTGGCGCAAAACTAAAGGAATAATTACTTCCACACATACTCCATTAATTGTTAGTAATTAAAAGACTATTATCCTTTGTGTAGGTGTATTAATATTTAAAAATATCCACATAGTCTGCATTATAATTATCCAATCGTTGATTTAATAACTTATTCAATGAACGATCTAATTGTTATTTTGCATGTACTAGGACTGTAATGGGAGTCAGGCAAAAATATTACAGTACTAGTCAGGTAAAGATCAACTTTCAAATGTCAAAATAGCTCCGAAATTTAGATTTTCTTGACGGTTTCAGATAAATTATATTTATACATAGGTACGTACTGACATGGGTCATCTAAATAATGAAATTTCCAGTTTTAAAATTTAGTAATTTAATAATTCATATCTGAAAATATTTCTAAACGATCGGTTTTATTGCCAATTTTGGATCTCATCAGACTACTATTTTTTTTAACGGTCTTGAGATTTTAGAACAGTAACAATTAATTTATATCTCTTTAAATTTAATCAGGAATGCGGCTATCATTGTTTATCATTTCAATATCGATATTAAGGCTGAGACTCGACGTAATTCAATTTGATTACTATATGGCATACAAAAAGCTAGATAATTTTCGAAGGTAGGCATATAATATTTTATTAAAAAAATGAGTCACATTCACTTTTAGTCTTTATCGTCGGTGACTAATTAATCCTTTATCGATGTGACGGTGCCTTGATAACGTTTTTGTTAATTATTTGTTAATCAAAGAAACACCAACGATATTTTGTATTTATGTGTTTTAAGTCTGAAAGATACTCTTTATACTGTTAGAATTTTGTAAATTCTTCTTAAATTCATAAAGTGGAAATATAACTAATATAAGAGAAACACAAACTCGTGTGACATTATTCAGCTACGAAGGAAGGGGAGCTGACATCACCACCACTACTGACGTGCGTAGGGTAAAAATATATGTTTGAATTAAATTTCAATGTATCATGCTATGAGATTATTTTAGGGATTATTTTTTGACGTTTCTCGAAACCAATAGAAATGTTCAATTTCAGTCATTCATATACGTTCTAGCCAATCAAAACATTATTATAGTAGGAATAATTTACTTAGATTATTCCCAGCGAGAATTTTTCAATGTACATTGTTTTTTATTGAATTAATATGACAACGTATGGGTATTTTCTTTATCTAACGCGTCTGTCATAAATTTTCAAGAAGTTCGAAGAATGAATCCCAAATGTTTTAGTGAATCATCAATCGATGTCTTACAGCGTTTTCTGAAACGCATGGTTTCAATAATATCTAGAGCTAGGAATGGATTGTGTTGCTTTTCCAATATTTCGAGGCAGGGGTGCTCAAAACGTATACAGTACCCTAATTTCCACTGTAAAAAAATAAAACATATAATATCAATAGTCACATCTTAAAGAATGAATACTTTCACACGGTACCACATTTGGTAGTGAACACACTAATAGATGGCATTCCTAACCTAATACTAATACGAGTAAGTATACAAGATGTAATTCCATTTTAGACCCTAAAAACTATGTAATTCTTACCATTCCTAACATTTAAGTGCGGCTGTTTTTTTATCCATTCGTGAAACATCTTCAAAGTTTCTTTTATCCTTTTAGGATCTTCGTTTATTTCTTTCGCAGCCTTATCGTCTAATTCTTTTGAAAGGGGACGAATGGAATACGTCTCCATGTTGGTTCTGTCGGTGAAACACAGAGTGTTAGCAAAGTATCAACTATCAGTAATTCTATTTGGTGGAATTCTTAGCTTTAAAGATTTGTTTTCGTTACATTGATGGCCATTGTATCGAACCAAGAAACTGGAATGAAATCATATTTCTTGAAAAGTAAATCGTTAATGCCTTACAAAATGACTGTCTATATCTTAGACCTTCAACTGGTAAAAATTATTCTAAACCTTTTAATTGTAGCTAGGTATTGAGAATTTCACATCACATTCGTTAACACTATTTAAAATTGTACGTGGAACTTGATTTACATTAAGAGGACAATAGACGTTAATTTAAATTATTAATTTATTTTAATTAACGCCCATTACGTTAACAATTTTATATCCCGTAGTGAATAGGGAAACTGAAACTGGTTGAGTTGAGCAATATATTATTCTCTACAGTTCCCTTAAATAACAAGTTATTATATATCCCTACGTTGGAAGTTTGGTAATATAAAGGCTTACAGAACATAAATAACCTAACCACCGATGAATGTAAATTAAAGGTACAACAACGCAATTAAAGTTTTTACGTTTATTACAAAGAAAAACGTAAGCTGCCGACACTAATCAAAAGAAGTAATAGGTGAAAATATGCTAGAAACTTTAAAATGTTTAAAACAAACATCAACTACTCTGGTTATAAGAAAATAAAGAATATACACACGTCCTCAAAAAAATTCATTGCATTATTTCAAACTTCTAAAGACTATACTAAATTTTAAAACAACTGAATTAGAGCTATTATTACTATCTAGATTTACTATTTTCCACCATATCTCCGCGTATTTGTTCGTTTGTATAAAATATAGGCCGTCTGCGTTTTGTACAATGTATATAATCTTTGTAATACTTACACATTTTAATTACTTGTAAGTCCTTATTTAATATCAATTTATTTAGAATTTTACTTTGTTTCAAAATATACAAAGATATACATGGTGTTCCATTAAAAAAGGTTACTTGATTGAATATTTTGATAACCCGTTAACCACCTATATTTCTAATTCGACCATTCCAATCGTAAGAAAAAAATGGCTTCATGTTTCATAATTAACCAACGTCGTAGCTGCAATAATACATGGTATTATGTGAGCAAGGCGTGGAACCCAGAAGCACTCATTTGGAAAACGGGCCGAAAAATGTAAACCGTTAATAAAAACCTATAGACAATGCAATTCGCGGACATCAGTCTTTTTCCCGTATCGTATCTCCTCTCAAGAAAAAAACGTCCGGACGTGATGTACACCTCTCTAGTTCGTTGTGTGCTTCGCTATTTATATTAAAACAAAAAGGAAACCAACGAAATTGCACTGATGGGCGTCCTTTTTAAAGTAATAGTAGACCAGCATCTTTTGTTTACACTGGAATTTTGTCTCGGCAAAACGGAACCATCAAAATAGGATAGTTCACTGCTATCTTGGTAACGATTTAAATTCGTCCTTTATCGTTAATAACTTGATCCAACCTTACTATCGGTTTGCAAAAAAAAATTAAATGCAAGATGGGCCTCCCGTTACAAAAAGCAGTAATTTTCACGAGAGACAGAATGACATCCAATAAGTTTTGGATCACCAGAGGAAACATGCTTCTCCATTCGCCAGTGACGGCTCCTATAACTTATGGATCAAGGACTGGAAGAAAGGTTTTAGTGAGTGTAAATCCCACACCTTTTTCGCTATAAACGCAATGCGGAGATATCCCTTGCGCATTCACCAATTCCCTTTAAAAAAGAAAAATGTGCAATGCTCCTGCTATTTTTGTAAGCATAAGTAATCGTAAAATCGTACTGTGAACAGTATAAATATTTTCTGGAGTGTACCTACTCCGGGAAATTGGTGTCCCTGACCGCCGCTGATTTTCTTTTTTGAAAATTCACAGCCCAATTTTTAATAGTAATATATGAAGGACGCTGTTCTACGGTTTCGTCAAAAATTTATTTGCTCGGCAACGCTATCAAAAATAAATTCTTAATCACCGATCGAAATTTGTTTCTGTCAAAATATATCTTTTTCTCAGACATACCTACCGAATTTACAAAAATTTACATTTTTGTTGCAATTGAATAAACATACATCGTACCTACCTAGTTATTGCTACCATAGCTACTAAGTTTAGTTTTGTTTACCGAAAAGTGTCAAGGCTAGCTAGATATCGATGCTTCCTCATACTGTTAAGAGGTTTTTACCATAAGTTATCTCAAACCAAAGGGGATATTGGAATTTGTTATGATTAATAGATCCAATTAGGCCGAGATATAAGTTATTAAATCCAGACTCTAAAAGATAATTATATAGAATTAAAAAGGAACGATTTATTTTTAATACTTGCACTTATTTGTATTAATTACCTACACGTACTTGCATAAACTTCAAATTAAGAAATTCAATTTCCAATATCCTTCAACATTGAAAGGCGGCCTTTCGGTCCAACAGTATCTAAATATAGGTACCACCACAAAAACAAAAATAAACTGTCTAAACCACAAACTTACCGGTATGTTTGTCTCTGAGCAGAAATTAGTGATCAAGATCTCATTTTATGTGATTTTATGTAAAGTCTAGACACAAATCTTTTAGTATACCCCTACCGCGTACGTAATTTATAATGACCTAAAGTCTTAAAGATTATGAATTTACTTACACAACTATTTCTTGTTGCCGTTGACACTGTATAAGTTTTACTACCAAGCTAACAAGCACTGCGATGGAAGAATGTAGACAGGGACCAGTGTTGTGAAAAGTAGGTACCACTTCTGACAGGATAGTAAAAACGAGAACATCACGGTTTTTTTCTTATTATATTAAGGTCATTACTATAATAAAAAGATTGCGGAATATCAGAGCTCGTTATTATTTATAAAGTTCATTAAGCTGGTCAAATTCCGCAAATAAAAATAAAATAAAAGCAAATTGGTAGAATACAGAACATATATTGCAACTTCTCATTGACAAAAGTAATGATCGCCTAATAAGTAAACTCTGCGACATAACCAACATGCCAGGCTCCCTCGTTTCTTTCAAGGAGGACATTACCTTAATTTGTTGGGTCGCAGTTCCAAGTTGCATAATATACCTATTCGGCGATCATTACTTTTGTCAATGACTTACATCTGATATAGGTATTTAAACCATGAACACTGAACTATTAGGGTAAATATAAAAAACCTTACCTTGAGAATAAGCCCAAAGGAAAATTATTACTTTTATATTTATAATACTTTTAGTATTGGAAATGCTTATGTTTTGTATATGGGTATGAAGTTTCGTCAAGCAGAAAAGAAGACAGCGGTGTCGCGTCAAGTGTTGATTGTACCGTACTCGGCCGCAATCGGTAGATTTTGAAAAAGTCGCGGATACGGTCGATACGGTACTTACTTAATAGTGCGCAATGTTTTGTTAATTCCAATCTAAAATTCTCGCACATTACCTTTAATAGGATTACGAGCATGTTATGAGGCTTATTATACATATATTCAGAATAGAAGTGATCCCGGGCGAATAAAGAGGTAATTTGTGTATATAACGGCGTTATACGGTTATCATTTCCAATATCTCCAATGGTTGAAAGGATTGTGAAATCTGTGAATTTTTTTACTAACTTTACGATTATGATCATGTTTCTATCACTGCTCTGTCCTCCTCCTTTACAACCAAAATATCAATTTCTTTAGAACCAGATTAAGCTACTAGGCACGCTCGAAACGTAAGTTTTTTTTCTCTGCTATTGTTTTAGTCGCATAACCTAATTCTGTGTAGGTATTACCTATTACCATTATTATTACCAGAGGTAACAAAAATCAGGATACCTTTCTTCAGGTTGGACAAAACCAAGAATAGCTCTGAAGTGATGGCGTTAAAATTCTACAAGCATCTCCCAGAATCTATGAAAAATTTGGAAAATGCTAAGTTTAAGTTAGAAGTTAAAACACTTCTTTTGAATAATTTGAGGAATTTTTAAGTTTTAAACTTTAAGTTTTTTTATGTGTAATATTTTGTGACGAATGCAAGCAATTTTTTCCCTGTAAGCATAAATATATTATTATTATTATAAACATTATAATATTATATAGGTATATTTTTTAATAGCAACCGCTATGTTTTTATTCCATATTTTTAAACTACGCACCTTTTATCCTGCTGTATCCCAAAAAAGTACACGTTTTAATAATATGTAATGGAAACATCATTACCATTAAAAAATATGCCCTACTTGACCATGCAGAAGTACGCCACTGACCGCAAATTTAAGGTACCTACGTAGATTAGTAGCAAACTTCTCATAATTGTAAATACTATAAAAAGTTTCTTCGCAAAAATTGTAGTTTTGAATGCATATTCAGGGTTCCAGGCAAAATCTCCACTTTGTATATAAGTACCTACCTTCCAATTCCAATGTTGGGTGCGTTCATATTAAAAAGGGTAAATTGCAATTCAAATTAAAAGTGATAAACAAATTTATGTGTAATTAGTCCCATTTTAGTCTCGTTTCACGAACACGAACTACGAATGTCTGAATATCAGTGACGGATTAAAGGGGGGGGGGGGGGGGGATCGCCCCCACCGAGAGCGAGAACAAAATGACACAAAAATGCGTACCTAATTCAGCGGAGTTGGTCAGTAAATTATTTTGTAGGTATCAACCAGTGCTTTTCGAGTTCAAGAAGTACTACACTCTTCTGCGTTTATACCAGTTTCTTTAACAAGGCAATATTTTATTTGTACTTTCACAAAAAATGTACCTTGCTCATTCAATTTTAATAAATTTTATTAATAAATGTTCTTTTAAATAAAGCAAACGAAAAAAATTACGAGTAAATAGTAGGTATATCAATTTTAAAATTTTGATGTAATATCCAAAAGGGCTTTAGTAATTATGTATAATTCCAGAGTTGTAGGTTTCATTCCCTGCATTTTGCGATATAATTTTCCCAAACAGGTAATTCTATAAATGAGTGTGATTGTTTTTCTTTGAAATATTTGCATTTCCAGTAGTTTAAACTAATATTTCTTTACATATAAATTGTCGGTCTAGAACCACTAAATCTGATACTTTTTAAGGTATTCTTTTCAAAAAATTTTCTGAGGAGGACCCGGACCCCCCTCGTCTTTCCTCTTCCGTTCCAGGATTCCGCCCCCACCCACATATTCCTATTAATCCGTCCTTGCTGAATATTCACTTATGGGTGCACTTCTTATTGACTTTCTTTCATTTATAAAAACGATGCTATTTCGTGTTTTGTTCAATAAAAACTGATTTTTTATAATTAATTATGTGATTGTAGAACTAAGCTTTTAAACTAGTAAATAATTGTAATAGTCTCTGGATTTTAATTGTAGGTAAATGGAAAGGTGTCAGGAGATAACGAATGTTTATTTAAATCATTTATTGAACATATTAATACCCAAGATAAGCGTTAACTTTCTTGGTATGTATTATCCAAGAGGTGAAGAGTTTGGCAGAAACGGAAATTTGCTGTACAGGAACCGGCAGGTGAGAAGGTGGGAGATGATACATCCCCACTATTCACATTCGTCTATTGGTGAATCACCTGTTCCTCCTGAAGACTATAAATTGCTCTCGCCTTCTTAACTGCCGGTTCCTGTATATTGGTGTATAGGTACTTTTAATATGAAAATGTTAGTAGATTTTAATTTTTTGTTGATATACGACTAGGTCTTCGTAGATGGATGCTATGATACAATGCCAAGTGCGATGTGAGATGCGGTGGCCACCCACTTTCTAGACGTGTATTAAAACACTTCTCACGGTTCACAATCACCCTCTTGGCGGAGATATTTAATAGATTTACTTTAGAAATAACTAACCACCCCAAGGAATAAAATATTTAATCGATCACTAATTTTCGAAATGATCCTTCTATTCCTAATTCTTGATAAGCTTTAGTGACCAAGGGCCGACGGCTTTCATCGCATCCGTACGCGTCATCTTCTAGAAACCAATCCCTATAACTCATCACCTTCTGTGCCCATTTGTCTGTAAAAAATATATTCAGTACATTTACCGTTTTTGGAAATTTAATAAGCTTACCGGCAATATAATTTAGAGGCGGATTATCGCCTCCGTATTCTTGTGGTAAGACTGACTGTATATCTCTGCTCACATTTTCCTTCCAGTTGGATTCAGTTAAAAAATTAATCTGAAAGCAATTATTACTGCTTTGAATAATATTAATAACCTTATTAAATTCCCTAACCCTTTCCTTGAGTTTGTCACTAAAAAAAGGCCTTGCGAAGTTATGATATATTACTACCAAGCCTTTGGGAACATTTATGCCAATCTGTCCTTTCATTCTCAATGGGGACATATTCTCAATGCATATTACACATTTTTTTACCAATGCGGGTGTAAATTGCAGCATGTATCCTGGAGTAAGTGCTTGGTAATCGGATATTATTTGAAATCCAGAAATAATAGAATTATCATCTTCTTTCATTAATATTTCAATACTCATAAAAATGGCTTTCATTAAAGCAAGGAATGGTACATTTGTATTAAAAGACATGAAAAATGTTTTAGGACCAATGTAACCTTTTTCGTTTGGAAGCAGAGTTATACACCTGAATTTGATATTTACTATACAATCGTTTGAAATGCCCATCTCACTCGGATTTCAGTAGAAGTTGAATTTCCTGTGACGTAGAATCTCTACCTCGAAAAAGATCTGGAACTAATGTTCTTAGGGTGTAGAAATAATCAATCTTTTGCTTTGTTAGTTGAAGACTCCATTTACAGCCACGTAGAAACGTTATTAGGTGTTGGTCATCTACAAAAAGAAACAAAATCTAAAGAATTAAGTCTCCAGTTTTAAAATTTAGTAATTCGGTAATTCATATCTAAAAATATTTCTAAACGATCGGTTTTAGAGATTTCGACTAAAAATGCTAGTTAGGTTGGTGATGTCATCAGACTACGGTTCTTAAATGGCTTTGTAACATCCCTCACTTGCACTCAGATTTATAACACAGCTAGGAGTGCGGATGTCTTTATTTATCATTTCAGTATCGATGCCTCGTCACAGATTAATTTTCTTATATGGCATACAAAAAGCTTTTATTTTTATGGAAAAAATGAGTCACATTCCTTTTATTCTTTATCGTTGGTGACTAATCCTTTATCGACTTGATGGCGCCTTAGATGGCGTTTTAGATGGTACATTGGTAGAGAACAAATTAATAGATACCATAATTTTAAAATACCTATTCGAGATGTTATTCCATTTTAGACCCTACCATTCTTACCATTCCTAACATTTAAGTGCGGTTGCTTCCTTATCCATTCGTGAAACATCTTCAAAGTTTCTTGCACCCTTTTAGGATCTTCATTTATTTCCTGCGCAGCCTTATCGTTTAATTCTTTTGAAAGGGGACGAATAGAATACGTCTCCATGTTGATTCTGTCGGTGAAACACAAGGTGTGTAAAATGTGCACATCATGGCGGCGCCCATGCTAGGGCCATTTCTACCTCTATGCAACTGTTTGATCAGCAGTTCATCTTAATTTATAAGTTCGTGATGTACAAGTCGTGAAAAAAAGATCGTTCCTTCTCGTAAATTTCCTTAACCGTGTTCACTCTACCGCTTTACGAGATGTACCTACACTTCTCTCTAGCACGCTGTGCGCTTCTCTACTTATATTAAGGCCAAAACGGAACCAACGAAATTGCACTGATCGGCGTCCTTTTTTAACCATTAGTAGACCAGCATCTTTTGTTTGCACTGGAATTTTGTCTCGGCCAAAACGAAATCGCCGAAATAGGAGAATTCACTGCTACCTTGAAAACGATCTTCGTCCTTTATCGTCAAAACTTGACCCGCCCCTGCTGTCGGCTTGCAAAAAAATTAAGACAAACTCCCGTTACAAAAAACAGTAAATTTTCACGAGAGGCAGAAGAGCGTCCAAAAAGAAGAAGAAACCCCACGCTTTTTTCGATACAAACACAATGCGGAGATATCCCTTACGATTTACCCAATTTCATTTAAAAAAAAAGGAAATACATCCTGCTATTTCTGTAACGGTAACCACAAGTCATCGTATCGTATCGTGAACAATATCAATATTTTCTGGACTAGTCCGAGAAATTGGTGCCCCTATTTGTATTAATTGCGTGGTTGCATAAACTTAAACTTAAGAATTATTAAATTAAGAAATTCAAACATTGAAAAGCGGTCTTTCGGTTCAACAGTATCTCCTCAAAAACAAAAATAAACTATCTATACTACATATACCATTAAACTTGCTAATAAGTATATGTTTGTCGTAATGGGCAGAAGTGGATGATGTACTGATTCCGATCTCATTTTACCGTACGTGATTTGATCTGTCTTAACAAAGTTCAATGAACTCTAAAACCTAAATAGGAATCTTTAGCATCGGATAAGTGTGCGTAACCATAATGACCTAAAGATCATGAATTTACTTACACAATAATTTCTTGTCGTTGACACTGTACAAGTACCCCTACGCCTACCACGCACCACGATGTAAGAAATGTCGGCAGAGACCAGTGTTGTGGAAAGTAGTTAGGTAGGTACCACTTATGACAGGACAGGATTGTAAAAGCGAGAACATTGCCATTTTTTTCTTATTATAGATAATTACTGTAATAGAATATAAAAAGGTTGCGCAAAATGAGCGCTCGTTATTATTTATGAAGTTTATTAATCTGGTCAAATTCCACAAATAAAAATGCAATGCCTGAAGTAAATGCAAATGGGTAGAATACATATCATGTAATTGCAACTTATGTCTATACGAGTATTAAACATTGAACTATTAGGTAAATAAACAAGCCTTAGGTATCTGGAGAATAAGGTATGACCGTATAACGTAATATGACCGAGATCAGGCAAAGGAAACAAGTGCTTTAAATTGAGTCCGTTAAATTTTCTACTAATAGATGCCTACCTACTTAGCTCGAACCGTCGCCGGCCATCAACAGCCGTCGACGTGACGGAACGGATAAGTGTGCGGCAACCTTAAGGGTATCTGCCCACTACACCGTACCATATCATGATCGTCCTATGAAATGAACACATCAGGCACGGAAAGTGCACCACACAAGCACCACACTGACTACTAAGTACTATGCCCGCTAGAAGACCGTATCATACCCGTACGGCACAGTATAATAAAGATAGTAAGCCAACCGGTTCGCGCCAAATTGTTGATGACTGTAAAAAGATGTACCGGTATATACTACCACCTAGTTGAGAGTAGCTTAATATGCCCATCTTAGAAGCTACATTCATTATTGTCACGAAACCATCAGTTATCGAAGCGGGAAAATACAAAACATGATCGTTAATCGAGTTTAAATATTCTTCCCATATCGTATTCCTATTTCATATCGTCATAATTAAGCACTATACTTACAAGCAGAGCTGGAATGATTACTCCAAAAAGTATTCGAATACTGATTACAAATTACTTTATTATAAAAGTATTTACGTATTTGATTTAGGTACCTACTTTACAAAATTTGTATTTAGTTACTGATTACAATTTGTAATCGATTTACTTTCGCATCTGTAACTACATTTTTCTCCAACCACCTGAATAAGACGCTATTTTGTGACAGTATTCGGTACGTAAAACTGACGTTTTGCGGATTAATCGCTTTCACCATGGCAACTGTACAAAAAGTGGATACTTTTGGTCCTAGTACCAAAAAGAAATTGACCTTGAAAGTTGGCCAATTAAAAAATTACAATCACGGAGATATGTCACATTGACATCGTTTTACATTACAGGTTGTAAGATATTTCTATACATACAAATCAAATATTTTTGCATATTCAATGGAAATAATTATGTTACCTATACGTATGTACATGTATTGAAAATGGTTTACGCTCGCTATTTTTATTTAAACCATATTCGATGAGCGTAATTTTAATACGTATACAACCCGCCGTCGCGCGTAACGCCATCTACTTCAGACCCATTGCACTATTATCTGTCATTTTGAATTCAAAATTTGAAAAAGTTAATTGCAATTAATTTTAATTAAAAAACTGTATGGTAAGTTTTTTATTTCAATACAAAATATAACAATATTAATTGTGTATACAATAGAAATGACTGAAACTGATAGCGACATGGATTGCACTCCGCCAGAGATTTTAGAAACGGCAGAACATGCTACCTCAAGATTTGCTCCCTCCAAAGTCGCGAGAGGTGAGAAGTAAGAAGTAAGAACGAAAGGTTATAAGTTAACTTAAAAACTAGAGTGGCATGACACGTGAGGACAAGAAAGCAGAAGTTCTTATACTAGTAGTGAAACTGTGACTGAATCTAAATTCGAATATAATTTGAAGTAAAGGGGGTTGGAGAAAAAATTTTATGTTTTATTCGTACAAAAAATGCGTTTCCGGGACTCGGAAGGTTGCTGGACTCCGCTAACGCGTCGTCCAGCAACTATCTTCCTCGTCCCGAAAACTGACATTTTTTGTACTAATGAAACAAATAACTATTTTAAACTTGCATCTTGCAAGCGCACGTATTCATACTTTATTTATCGTTAACGAGTTCGTTGATTCTTTGTTATTACTTATTAACGATCCTCGGGAACGTTCATAATTTTGTATTGCTGTCTGTCTGTCCGTTTGTCGCCCGTATGCACGATAACTTTGTGTAGAAACGTCCGATCATTTTGAAAATGGGTACGCATATTCTTATAGATATAAGAAAGGTCGCTATTGTTTTTCAGCTGAGTAAACTAACGCACCAAAAAGTTACAGCCCAAAAACTGCCCACACCTGAAAAGAAAATAATAATAATAATACTCTTCCCACTCAACCCACTATACAATCACAAACAGCCATGCCTTACCTGGGAAATGGGAATCGAACCCAGGACCCTTGTAGCCAAAGTTAGAGCTACTAACGTAAGCTCATCTGAGCTACGCAGGTCGTGTATGTGTATGTGAGAAGTGAGGCCGTTACTGTCGCGTAGTATCGAAAGTCTTCAGGGCGGCGTGTGGGTCGAGAAATGTTTTCCGGCAACTGTCATGGTTGACTTGTAAACACAAGGAGTACCGCCCTTAGACCATACCGCCGTACGCAGAAAAATGACGAAACCGTGCGTTGTGGCGAAATCCAAACCGGGTACAAAAAACTTCGATTTTTAAAATGCCGGTGAAAATGCGTAAATAGTTATTTGTTTCATTAGTACAAAAAATGTCAGTTTTCGAGACGAGGAAGATAGTTGCTGGACGACGCGTTAGCGGAGTCCAGCAACCTTCCGAGTCCCGAAAACGCATTTTTTGTACGAATAAAACATAAAATTTTTTCTCCAACCCCCTGTACTTCAAATTATTTTCGAATTTAGATTCAGTCACAGTTTCACTACTATAGTATAAGAACTTCTGCTTTCTTGTCCTCACGTGTCATGCCACTCTAGTTTTTAGGTTAACTTATGACCTATTCGTTCTTACTTCTTACTTCTCACCTCTCGCGACTTTGTAGGGAGCAAATCTTGAGGTAGCATGTTCTGCCGTTTCTATAATCTCTAGCGGAGTGCAATCCATGTCGCTATCACTTTCAGTCATTTTATTGTATAAACAATTAATATTGTTATATTTTGTATTGAAATAAAAAACAGTTTTTTAATTAAAATTAATTGCAATTAACTTTTTCAAATTTTGAATTCAAAATGACAGATATAGTGCAATGGGTCTGAAGTAGATGGCGTTACGCGCGACGGCGGGTTGTATACGTATTAAAATTACGTTCACCGAATATGTAAATTACGTTACACATGGTTTACTTAAAAATAGCGAGCGTAAATCATTTTCAATACATGTACATACGCATAGAAATCATTATTTGTATTGAATATGCAAAAATATTTGATTTGTATGTATAGAAATATCTTACAACCTGCAATGTAAAACGATGTCAATGTGACATATCTCCGTGATTGTAATTTTTTAATTGGCCGACTTTCAAGGTCAATTTCTTTTTGGTACTAGGACCAAAAGTATCCACTTTTTGTACAGTTGCCATGGTGAAAGCTATTAATCCGCAAAACGTCAATTTTACGTACCGAACACTGGCACAAAATAGCGTCTTATTCAGGTGGTTGGAGAAAAAAGTGTTTTGGTACGTTTATGTTGGAGCTGCGCGCTGCGAATAGAACAGCGCTAAGAGCGGCGATGAACGCAACACTATTTCTTCTCCTTGCTTTGTTGTGTTTATATTGGAGCATCGATTACGCTAGACCAGTGCTAAATGAGACGCAAACGTGAACGTTGATTTAGAATTTAGATGAAGAAGATGTCTAATTATTACGTAAATTAATGTAGTTGTGGTCAAAATCACAAAAAATAAAGAAATGAGGTTAGAATTACGTTTTGTGTTTAATTTAACCGCAATATTTCATCCCACAACTTATCCAGAATATATGGTGATTGCTGTTTTTCTGATCCCAGAGAGCAGTTCTGATAAAAATCTGGCTAATTAGTTTGTCATTGTCTACATCCATCCTAAAAACAGCGACACTAGCAACGAGTTGCAAATGAATCTCTTTCTTCGCTCTTATAGTTGCAGCTTTGCGTTCGCACCGCTCCAACATAAGCACATCCGTATACTACAATACTTTGCAAAACATCGCTCCGCTTTCATCGCAGCTCTGCTCGCTGCTCGCAGCTCCAATATAATCGTACCCAGCGATGTTCGAGGCAAATTGTCTCTTGTCTCCATGGAATCTCCATCTGGTTAGTGCGCACACTCGCCTACAGCCTGCGCAAAATTCAATTGGGGTCAATTTATCTACAACAACACTGTTTCTCTAATTATACAACTCTGTATGGTCATTACAGAAAAAAATTACTAACGAAATTCAATTCACCAATTTACTAATGCAAAAAATACTAGAACCTTAAGCACGAAATTCAAACGATCATCACTTCTAATGAATCACCCGGTACAATGTACATTATACAGACCTTGGTAGTAGTAGATCATTTATTTCATAAACGGTAGTTCTAAACGAACTTTTTAGTTTTTAGTTCAGATACATTTTTGGACAAATGATTTCCGACCGACCACCTTTCAACAAAAACAAAAATACAACCCTTTGTTCTGTGATAAAAATAAGCCAAAAATGTGCGTGTAATTGCACTGTGATATTACTTATCCTGTCTACTTTGTTAGTTTTTAATATCTCGTTTTAATTCACGCATATTATTTGTGCTTGAATTCTGTACTTCTTACAATAAATTGTAAAATGGGTTTAAGAGTTTTGGTTCTCATTTTTTCTTTAAGTCTCTTAGTGGCTGGATACAAACCAACTGTTTTATTGCATGGGATACTCACAGGGAGTGAATGTATGACGTTAATAAAAGATCGAATACAAGAGGTGAATAACTTCTAATACATTAAAATTTACCTATAGATTTTAGAAACACCCAGGAACTGTTGTTTATAATATTGATCGATTTGGAGGCTGGTCAAGTTTAGATAGCATGTGGTACCAGATTCAGCAGTTGAAAATGGATATATTAAATATTAGTCAAAGTCATCCGGAGGGTTTTAACTTTCTCGGATACTCCCAAGGAGGTTTACTAGGACGTGCGCTAATACAGGATTTACCTGATCATAATGTACATAATTTTATATCCTTGAGCAGCCCACAAGCAGGACAGTACGGAAGTAGGTAACACGTTACATCTATTCTTTCAATACATATTAATTATTACAATTTCAGCCGAATTTCTGCACATAATTTTTCCAAACCTAGCTTTAAAAACTGCATATGAACTATTTTATTCACGAGTTGGTCAGCATACTTCGGTTGGAAATTATTGGAACGATCCCCACCACCAAAGTTTGTACTATTCGTATAGTGATTTTTTACCGTACATCAACAACGAAATAGGTTCAAACAAGAGCGAGCAATTTAAAGCTGCTATTTTAAAACTAAACAAGTTAGTATTAATTGGTGGTCCAGATGATAATGTTATTACTCCTTGGCAATCTAGGTTCGTATGCAACTGTTTACGAAAGGTGATCTAATTCTTTTTCATATTTAGTCAATTTGGTTACTTTAATTTAAATGAAACTGTCGTTAAGTTAGTGGATCGGGATATCTACATTGAAGACACGATTGGTCTAAGAACACTTGATAAAAAAGGGAAGTTAATTCTGATTACTGTACCGGGAATTGATCATTACATGTGGCATATTAATGAAACTATTGTTGATCAGTACATTTTACCTTATTTAGATTGAATACCGACTGATTTAGATCAGCTATAGCAAGGAGGTGGAACGATAAGAAGGTGCAAGCTTTGTTCCTTATAAAAGGTGTGTTCATACATATATTTAAGGAGTGTGCAATATCAGTTTTCAATTTCCCTTTCTGCTGTCTCCTTTTTAGTTATGTAGGTCCAAGTGACTGTAACTACTTTCATTTCACTTGTGATCGGACAAATTCCCTGTAAAATGGAAAATTTGTCCCATAGGTATTCTGGCACCACTAGAGCGTTATGCACCTCGTGCGTAGGTACACCATACTGTTGAAGCCGACAGAGTTTCTCCAACTTTTTTTTGTGCCATACATCGTTGTATTCATAATAAAAAATGCTACTTAATACAATATGTACGTTTTTTACGGGTCTTATAAAAAAATAAAGTTGACGGTGATTTCTCCGAAATGAAACATTGTATTAAAAATTTCTCAACGCTGTTCTGTATCTGCTTAAATACTTAACATAAAAAAAAAAAACAAAATCTGCAAATTTCGGTTTTTCTGGCATATCTTCGGAAGTTATCGGAATGTTGTGGTTTCCTTTAAAGCATGATAATAAGTAGCGTTGAAGTTCTTAGACTTTTTTACTTTATATTCGTAAAAGTTTCCAAAAAATAGACTATGTATTTTTCACAGTAAATGTCAAAGACACAGTCTATTTTACGAGTCACAATTACCGATTCAATGTTGGCCTAGAATTCCATATGATTATTTGTTAGCGCCTTCTCCTATCCGTCACCTGGGGACGTGCCTGGTTGGGAGTCACAAGATGGTGAGAGAGGGGGCACACATATCATAGCCTCTAGGGTTCAATGTTTGGCTAATTCGCCTCTGAACCTGGGTGTAGATAAATATAATAAGTTTGGCACACAAGCTCCTGTGGCACAGCATCTTCATACCATTCCACCTCTTTGAGTAAAAGTTTTTGCTTCTTAATTAGCTCAATACAAGTCATTTCTTGTCTCTCCAATTACAGTGTAAACCCATCTTCCATTTTGTCAGGCTTGTTTTATGAGTCAATTAATCAACTAAAGAACACACCACGCCATAATATTAAGTCATTTTCCTCTTTTAATGTGTAACTTTTAAAGACTGTCTTTGTGATCTTACAATTAAACTTGAATACCTTACTAATGATCACTGCATAAACACAGAGTCAACAGTATAGATATTCGTAAGTTGTACTCAATACTCATATGTCTATGATTGTACTATAAGGAAGATATGCTTTGATTACTAGATGGGTTATTGCAGCTAGAATATAGTGTGCTTTTAAATAAAAGTTTACAAACAAACATAGTTTTTGTTCTTTCGACTATACTTATCGGTAAGATATGTATGATATTGTGGCGGCATTTACTTAGTAGTGGCACTTGGCGGTGCAGGTGCATTTCTTTCGCGGCGATATAACACTACTCCCCAAACGCGTTATGTGTTGTTGGCACACTTTTGGCCTTCCTTACTGTATATTGATATTGACTTCTATTTGCCTCTGTTATGCTGTCTCAATCTGTGACGTTCTCTATCATGTTCCACTTATCTCTCTGCGGTAGACTACAATACACTACAACGGTATTACTACCTCGTTCTCTCTTCTACAACACTCTCCATCTTGCTTCCGCAATAATTGTGGTTTGCTGATTTCTCGCTTCCTAATCGTTTGCTGCTCTATGTGTATCGAATAACCGTTTATTCCGTGGAGGGAGTACGTCATATAGCTCTGATTCCTCGCTGTATATGTTGTTCTCCGAGATAGTCAGATGGTACCTGAAGATATATTTTGAATTACGATGTTTATAAAATATTGCGATCAAACGTTACAGCTAATAGATTATTTCTCATTTAAGGTCAAATTTAAAACGAAGTTAGGGCGACCTTTTTTTGGGGAGAACGAATATGTATATTGGAAGAGGGGAGATTTGTTGCTATTTATGAAGCATCGTTTGCTATTAATTGGATGTAAGATTGAAAGGGGACCTTTGTTGTTTCAATATTGTTTTTGTCGTTCTACTTTTCCGTTATTGTTGGAAACAAATCGTATTACTTGCATGTTCCTGTATACCGTCATACCGGCCGGTTCAAGATAAGGTGTTTTTTTGCATTAGGTACGTATTAATAAACTAACTTTATCATTCCGTAGAACATTCATTCAAGTTGTGTATTAATTTAAAAATAAATTTTTCAGTTAGGAAAATTGCATTTCATTGTTTATTTCGTTAAATTGTAACCTATAACGTTTGCATCACAAATAAAGCAGACGATGCATCACCTGCATTTGACAGAATTGATTTGAAGGTATAATTCAGGTAACGTATCCATTTTGATAATTGAGTTGATATTTAAATTTAGCGCTTTATTTGAGCACAACATCATTTACTGTATCAAATCGCATAATGCATAACCGGTATTTATATAGGCAAAGCAAAAAAAAGATAACAAGCTAAGGAGCAACGAGTCAATAAGTAAAATCACCATTGAGGTACTAACGTGTGGAGGATAAGCTTACGTTAGTTGTAAACAACGCTACAAAATGAAGTACAGTTGGGAAGGAACGTAAAATAAAACAATGAAATTGAGAAAAGTTTGTTTAATAATTGTGGCTGGTGAAAAAAAGAACTTACCCAGAAAAAACAGCCGACTAGTTAATATTAAATTGTATAGCTGAAACACACGGTGTGACTCATCTTTGGTGCAATAAACTCCTTCTGTTAAGAGCAAAAAAGGTGGAAAATTACATGGCCTTGTAGAGCACATTCAATATTACAACAAAATATGTGAAAATTGTTGAATTGCAACTCATATAACACACGTTTGTAATAATGTAAATGCACGACATAAAATTATAACAATATGTACCATGTAGACTTCCAGAGGTGACATAGGTTAAAAACACGTTTCAATTGGTCAGGTGCCAACATTCTAAGAAAGGCTGAAACACACGGTGTGACTCATCTTTGGTGCAATAAACTCCTTCTGTTAAAAGCAAATAAGGTGGAAAATTACATGGCCTTGTAGAGCACATTCAATATTACAACAAAATATGTGAAAATTGTTGAATTGCAACTCATATAACACACGTTTGTAATAATGTAAATGCACGACATAAAATTATAACAATATGTACCATGTAGACTTCCAGAGGTGACATAGGTTAAAAACACGTTTCAATTGGTCAGGTGCCAACATTCTAAGAAAGGCTGAAACACACGGTGTGACTCATCTTTGGTGCAATAAACTCCTTCTGTTAAAAGCAAATAAGGTGGAAAATTACATGGCCTTGTAGAGCACATTCAATATTACAACAAAATATGTGAAAATTGTTGAATTGCAACTCATATAACACACGTATAGATTCTAAACCGAAGAGTTTTTCTTAGCAGAATCTCGCCCCCGAGATGGATAACTCGCTCCTCGTTCGGGGTTTCGAGCCTACAGTTGATTGCCAAGATCAGTCACGGTATTGACTGTGATCGTAAATCATTTGATTACAGTTTTTGCCACTCCCGCGATTGTCTCTTTAAGGCGAAATTGTTAGTTTACAAACAAATCAACACAAACTACATTTATAAAATCGGTCCATATTTTCGATTTGCAGGAATGAGTATTATACTTCTTAAAAACATTCACACATTTCGCAATCCTTGCAACCATCGGAGGCATTGGAAATGATAACCGTATAACCTATAAAGCCATAAATAACCCTTATTCACACGGAATTATGTTTCTGAATAATAAGCGGCGTAACATGCTTGTAGTTGTGACGCATTCAGTTGAAGCTGCCGACTGGGGTGCTAGGGTTCCCCTGGTTCGAATCCGGGTTCGGGCATGGATATTGTATAAATGTATAGGGGTGGCGTTGGTAGAGCAGCCTTGGCTGAAAAACCCCGCCCACTTCAAAATAAAGGCAAAATAAATAAATAAATAACCTAATCACGGGGAATGTGACGAGAATTTTAAAAATTCGAATTAACAATCCCCCTGCGCACTGTTAAGTAAGTACCGTATCGACAGTATCCGCGACTTTTCCTGAATCTACCGATTGCAGTCGAGTACGATACAATCAAGACTAGACGCGACACCACTTGTCTTCTTTTCTACTCGGCAAACCTGGTAAATTCATACCCATACAAAACATAAGCATTTCCAATGCTAAAAAATGACAGTTTAATTAGTTGTTCACAGTACTTTTAATGCTCCACCTATAAGTCAGGAGTGATGAGAGCGTACCTACTCCGAGTACTACTCCTACAAAAGAGCATGCTCCAATCGAATAAAAGTCAAAAAGGAGCATTTGGAGTGCACTTTATATACCTACTCCGATGCCGAACGTACCCAATGTGTGCATCGTCGGAGATTGTATATACAGGGTGGAACCTATCAACTTGTTTAACTGCATTTGACCCGAAAACTGCTATTCATTGTACGATTTGAGGTGTTGGATTTGGGTATTTTTTTCTTGCTGTTTGTTGCCTTCGTTAATATAGGCATTGTATTTGTGTGTTATATGTCAGGTTTTTTGCCCAATAGCGGTTTGTTCCTGGCCCTTTTTGTGTGTTACGGACAATTCAGTTGAGAAGTAAAAGTGTTCTATGCGACTGACATTTAAGAATTTGTACGTAAATTTATTACCAGATTTATTTAAATATTTATTAATTATCAATATTCACAGGAACTAAATAACGTTACTAAAATAGATTGATTTATAATAATTCAATATTTATCACTTTTATGATACTAATAATTTATCACATCAATGCGAATTTTGTTTATCATTTCAACATCGATGTTAAGACTGAGACTAAACACAATTCAATTTGTTTATATAGCTGTTATGTTTGTAGAAAGGATCGGAACGTTAATATATTTATTGCGTTATCCAGCTTCTGTAGAGGTGGTAATTTTTTCTTGGAAATTCGACCTTTGGATACACGTGCGCCAATACAACACAGTAGCAAACATAATTAACATAGAAAAATCTAAATGCATATCATATTTCACAGAAAGATAACCAGTCCATCCGCTTTTATTTTTTATTGGTGGTGTCCTAGTCTTTTACTGACTTGATGGCGCCTCGATAACGTTCTAGAAAATTTACTACAAATCGTTTTCCCACGAACTTATAAATTAAGATGGACTGCTGATTAAACAGTTGCATAGAGGTAGAAATGGCCCTAGCATGGGCGCCGCCATGATGTGCACATTTTAGTTATTTTCTAGGGGAATTTTCCTAGTGCTCAAGTTTTGAGACTATTGCAGCCTTGGAAAATGACATGTGGCACAGTCATTTATTTAGAAAACGTGAGGTTAATGTTGGTTTAATGCTTTTTTATTAGTTGATTTGAATTTCGCGCCAAGTGAGTGCACATCATGGCGGCCCCCATGTAGGTGTCATTTGTTTTTCAGCATTAGCAGTCCATCTCAATTTATAAGTTCGTGCGTTTTCCGTTCCTAGGTGGAGTAGGTTACGCCACTGGTCGGTGTGCCGCAACGCAAAAAAAAGAATTAATTTTTTAGATTTAAAATTTTAATCTAATTAACGTTGTATTCGTTATTTAAATATTTAAAAAGAAATTAATACACCGAACAGTATTAAGAATTATAGCAATTCTAATTTTATTTCAACCCTAACTTCAGCATAAATCTGAAATTTACCTAACCTATTTTCCATATTTGCCGGCATCGGGTACGTATTATGCGGAGTTCTTTATTTCTTGCTCTGAGGTACTATGTTTGTTTAATTTTAGACCGAACGGCCCTTTAAAGTGTTTGTTTTAATCAAAAAAGGTCATAGAAGAGGAAAAAGTTTGAGATTTACAACAGTAATGCAGTGAGTGCTAATCTAATATTGCCACAATTGTTTATTTAAATATGTACAATTTTTAGCAATTTGCCATAGCCCATTATTTTTTAAGCTTAGAAGTGAGCATATCCGGAAATTTTATTCTAACAATGGATTCAGCACTAATAACCGCAGAACAAAATATCACCCAAAATATGTAAGTCAATCCTCACTGTACTTAGTCGGGCAATGTCTTTTTTATTAGCTCATTCAATGGATCGGATAAGGAATATTCCATCGAGATACTCGGACAAGAGGTCACTGTTAATTGTAGCGCCGGTAACCACAATCATGGCAGTTCAAAAGTCAAGCTAACTGACGTTGTTGACTATAACTGGGAGCTGAAGTTCTACGTTGGGCAGCTGCTAGCAGTACATTTGAATGGTCACGTAATAGCCTACGGAATGAAAGGTTGGGTTCGATTTGAACTTTCTTTGGTTAATTTTATTTGCTTCGTTAGGAAAGAAAGGTGGAATGATACGTGTCACCAACCTGGAAACTAATCGTAGAGCCCTGATTAGAGAGATGAATGGTTTAGTTCAAGATATTTCCTTTGCTTTAATTCCCCAACAAATAGTTTTGGCGTGTGTCGATGAGGAAGGCAGTCTTTTTGTGTATAATATCGATGATAGGAGTGACGCAATTGAGTATCCTTTTCTGCTAACATTTATCTCCAAATGAAGTGTCTCCCATGGAGCATACTTGTTTTGCCAGAAATCAATTTTTATAAAATGTTCACTTTTAAGCTGCAGTTATTAAGCTTTTGAAAAACTACTGAACTGATAATTTTTGACTCGCCCAAAGGTTGGTGAATAATCTGCCATTTTTACCATCCGCACGTTAGTAAAGGGTATTGCATTGGAGTAAAAAATGACCCCCACTTTTTTGACGGAAATACACGTTGTGAAGCGCCAGGAATCCAAATCAAACAAAATCTATTATGTTGGTCTGTCTGCTAAACGGCTGAACCAAATTTGGAACACATATTCCTAGATATAAAATGTTAATCTAAAAACATCAAACAATGTAGGTAACATCCACAGATCAAATTCAAAAAATTAAAGTGTCGCAACAATTCAAAAAAATATTTAATAAAATTCAAGGATGTCATTAAAAAAATATTTTTTGATTTTTAAATTCATTTTTAACGTTTTAGAATCTTGTAATCTTTTGTGGGTTATATTTTTGAAAGTATTGCAATTTTTTTAAATTATAATATCTAGGATGTTCCATTTAAAAAATTGATGTTGGTCAGATCATTTTTTGTGATTGGACTGGTGAAGATCTGCCTGTTGCTACTACATGAATAGTGAATTTCTAGGTAAGACACTGGGTGTCCATTGGCAATATGGGAAACTAATGTACACAGCTTTTTGAAAATTTATAGGTACATAAACTTTGTTCAATGGGTCCGTCTCAGCAGAGATAGGATAAAAACACGCTTTTGTTGGGAGTTCTGAGTTAGTTGGTCGAAGTTGATCTTAAAGGAGTAGCCGTCGTCCAACTTCACCAAGCAGTGAAGCTGACCGAACTTCATGTCAATAACCAATGTTGCTTGTTGCCGTATTAACAGACTTGATCACTTACTTTGGGTTGTCTTGCTGGTGTGTGTTGTTTAATGAGGGCATCACATTGAATTCAAATTTGTCAATTATTGAGGACCAACCATTTTCCTTTGTGTCTTCCCATTAATGAGAGGCGGTGCTTTGTATCTGAAGAGACTGTCATGTATCGTCTTAATTGGTAAAGATTCATTCTCCATGGCAACTTACTTCAAGGTTTGCACTTTCCTCTTGGTGAATTCGTTTGTCACCGCATGACCTGGTGTAGTGAATTTTTCATTGATTCTGGCTCCTGCACAATAGAGCTTAAAATTCTCGCATTTTTTCATCATATTTGAAAAAACCATATAATAATATTATATCGTTCCATTTGAAATTTTCAAGAAAACGTGCAAAGTTTATGTGGATGTCAAACCGCGCCCTCTATCACGCATCACATTTACTAAAAAGACTTTCCATGTAAAATCGGATTACACAAATAGAGCTCTTACCGATGAACCAGTTATGTGAAAATTGGTTACTAAACCGAAGTTACATTCAATTCCTTAAAAAGATGTTCCCCTTCCCACACCCTTCATATTTTATGAGCTAGACTCGAGAGCAATAATTGCAGCATCAAAATGATGCAAAATTCATACAAGATTGCGATTGCATTTTTTAATACATCTTTTTAATAAAATGGTTGACGTTTCGTCCGTTAAGACTTTTTCAAAACGTTGACATGTGTTAAAATGTTTCTATACAGGGTCATTCTTGACGAGCGTCAGTTAGAAAGATATGGAAAACCTTTGAAAATGAAGATAAACTGATAAGTTCTTTAAGGGTTTTGGCATATGATGAATTGAACTAAAATATTTTCAAGATGGCGCCACTTCCGGAAATACCGGAAGTAGCCATCAACTTTGTTATTTTAAATAGGGACCCCCTATTTTTTCTACATTTTCGGATTCTACATCGAATTTGGAGTACAACGATACCCCATAGTTGACTCTTTGCTCCAAGGGCTTCGTCGATATTCAAGTTTTTGTGTCAAAAATTGAATTTGCATAGGTAACTTTAAAAATTTATTATTCGAAAACGGTGAGAGATATTGCAAAACAGTTTCCAATGCTTTATTAAGGAAAGATCAAATTTTCTTACGGTATGCGTAACCGTCTAAAAAAGTGAGACTACGTTACTTTTTCAAAGCTCTCAACTTTTAAACTTTTAAATATCCGTAACTCCATTTTTTCAAATGGCACCCCCCATTTTGTTCTTTACCCTTGTTTTCCTTTTTCCCAGACCTTTAATTTGATGCAAAATGTCAAAAGCTGCTTCAAACGGTTTCCGAGATATTCCATGTTTTAGTTACTTCTTGTGGAAAGTTGATAAAAAAATTAAATCGCTTGATGTTATTCTTTTGTTTTTATTATGATATGTTTATTTGTTTAAACGTCAAATTTTCGCTGCTTTTCCTGGCAGCTATTCGATTACATTCACCGTGTATTAATATTAAATTCAAAAAATCTTCATTAGTGTAACCCAAACGAGGCATTACTGACGAGAAGTATAAGTTCAAGCAGCGAAAATTTGACATTTAAACATTATCATAATAAAAACAAAAGAATAACATCAAGCGATTTAATTTTTTTATCAATTTGCCACAAGAAATAAATAAAACATGAAATATCTCGGAAACCGTTTGAAGCAGCTTTTGACATTTTGCATCAAATTAAAGGTCTGGGAAAAAGGAAAACAAGGGTAAGGAACAAAATGAGGGGTGCCATTTGAAAAAATGGAGTTACGGATATTTAAAAGTTTAAAATTTGAGAGCTTTGAAAAAGTGACGTAGTCTCACTTTTTTAGACGGATACGCATACCATAAGAAAATTTGATCTTTCCTTAATAAAGCATTGAAAACTGTTTTGCAATATCTCTCACCGTTTTCGAATAATAAATTTTTAAAGTTACCCCTGCAAATTCAATTTTTGACACAAAAACTTGAATATCGGCGAAGCCCTTGGAGCAAAGGGTCAACTATGGGGTATCGTTGTACTATAAATTCGACGTAGAATCCGAAAATGTAGAAAAAATAGGGGGCCCCTATTTAAAACAACAAAGTTGATGGCTACTTCCGGTATTTCCGGAAGTGGCGCCATTTTGAAAATATTTTAGTTCAATTCATCATGTGCCAAAACCCTTAAAGGACTTATCAGTTCAGCTTAATTTTCAAAGGTTTTCCATATCTTTCTAACTGACGCTCGTCAAGAATGACCCTGTATATGTATACGTTGTGTAATACTTTATTTCCCATCATAAGGCAGCATTTAGTAGTTTTTATTTCAGAAAACAAATGAGTAACGAAAAACAGTTGAATTTGTTTAAATAGCAAGGAACCTTTTTATTAGGCGTAACATGTCAGTACCCTTATTCAAGAACATTTTTCAAAAAAATTTAAAATCTATTAAATAATTACATTAATTAAAAGTTATGATAAAAGGATGAGGGGTAGTGCACTGTACACTGTGTACATCACTTAATGCATCACTATACAATTTAAAATGAACCGTTATTGCACAGTAACAAAAACTTCTTTAGTGAGCCATAATAAAACGTCATGTTTTCGAGTTAAAAAAGTTCCTCTTACACGGCCATCCTGTCGTCGATTTATCATGTTAATGCAAAATACCCTTTTTTTAAAAGTGGAACCCGTTCTTTTTGTTATGATTTTTTCGAAATAAGACCTGCCCTTTTTCGTTATTTTTTTGGAAGTGAGACTGGTCTTTTTTTTTTAATGGTACTTGCTCTTTTTTTTGTTATTTTTTAAATTGGGACCTACCATTTTTTTGACGGGACTTGCTTTTTTTTGTTATTTTTTTTTAATGGAAACGATTGAGACCTTGATCCCCTTCTCTGTTGGGTTTTTTCATCGGAATGTTTTTTAATGCTGCTTTTTTTCCATTGGTATATTTTTGTTAATCATTCCGGAATGCTGGCTTTTCTTAATCGGAATGCTACTTTCTTAAACAAATTTCATTCATTTTTTTTTAGTCATTCCGGAATGCTAGGTTTTTTTCGTGGGAATGCTGCTTTTTTATCATTCCTGAATGCTGGTTTTTTTTCATCTGAATGCGGGTTTTTCTAATGTATGGTATCGTTGGTTAGAAACGCCCAATAAACCTTTGATTTGATTAGATATTTCTTAATAGTCTAATGATAGTAATTGTATAAATCGACTATAAAGGTGCCTATCCATAGATCAAGTAGTGAACATTTATTAGGTTGCTATTATGTGACGACCAGGGACCTGTAACACAAACTATACAATATTGTAACAAGTCTACAAGTTTCAAGTAATCCGCCTGTAACTATAACTAAAAGTCCTACTGAATTCGGTATATGGAAATGAGTTGTGTTATGAAAGAGCTACAAGTGTAAAGTATATTCTAACAATTGTAGGACTTGTACGGCTTTTGTTACAGGTCCGAGGTAGTGGGACGGGTGTTGGAATGATAGGTTTCGCTTTTAAAAGAACTATTCCCTTTTCTGCAAAGTTATTTTCTTAATAATCCACTAGATGCACATTATTAATGCACGTTATTCATCCCACATCCCAAGCAAGTAATTACAGAGTAATATGGTGCCCTTACGTACCATCGTATGGAGAAGACTCAGATACTTTAGATGATCCCGCTAAACTATTGGTGCTGTTAAATGGAAGCACAGGTGTGAAATTCGCCATAAATTTGTTGCACCTAGCTATACGTTTTATTTGTTACAGTCGAAGTCTGGGACGTTAGTATTGTAAATAATCGTTACGGAACTGGACCTTTGCAACCGCATACAAGTTATGAAGGCTACGTTGAAATCAACGGGCACGTGCTCGACGTAGTGGACGCATCATTTTCGCCCGACGGTACTGCGTTAGCGACCGCCAGTTTGGACGGATTTGTGAAATTTTTTCAAGTGTACATGGTTGAAAATGAAAAGCCTCGGTGTCTGCATGAGTGGAATCCACACCAAGGGGAAACGCTGTCTTGTCTCCTATTTTTGGATAATGTACACACCTATGGACCTGAGTAAGTAATGTGGTAATGAACTTGATGTACATTTCCATATTGTCCGTGGCATAAATGAAGCAAGCCGTGTGCTGTCAGGATGGGCGAAAAAACGAAACATTGAACAAGTTATTGTACATCTTTTCATGCTAGATTTTAGTCACCTGATCAAGCCCCGACCGACGCCATCCGGTACTTTTCAAACCTCTTAAACAATTTTTCCCATTTTTCTGACCAGTGGACCTCAAAGGTGGTTGAAACATGATGTGTCTACGGGCGATCGGACCAATGAATTATCTTGTAATTCACCAAATGATTCACTGATGGTTTTATTACCACCTGCACGTTAGTATTAGGGAGGTATTGCATTGGAGTAAAAAATGACCCCCACTTTTCTTTACGGAAATACACGTACCTGTATTCTTAGAAATTACAGGAAGAGTTAAAAAGCTTGTGTACTGTATTCATTTTAAGAAGGTAGCAGTAGAAAACATAGGGAAGCTTTGACCTTCACTGTGATTGGTTAACAAGTCAGTAGTACGCTGAAAAATAAAGCGAGTGACCAATTTTGTTTTGTTAGTATTTTCGGTTACGAACTAAACTGTCGAACTCTCATTACTTGTCAATTTTAAAGAACCAAGAGTGCAATTGGTGGATTGGTATTTATATTATACAGTGTGTCTCCGGATGGACTGAACAAGGGGGAAAAAATGTTTAATTTTAACTTTACGCAAAAATGCCATTCTTTATAAAAAATTTTGCTTGCCTCAAAACCACCTATTCTGAAATAAAAATCTAGATATTCCTTTTAGCAGCTGAGAAAATTAAAAAAACGCAAAATCTACAGCGGAAATTTTTCTAAGTTGCATGTTTTTGATTAAATCAGACTATCATTGTATCTTCCATGGCAACCTGATCAAGTTAAAAAAGACACCTTAGAGCTTAAGAAAAAGAATGACATTTTTGTGTAAAGTTAAAATTAAAAATTTTTTCCCTCTTGTTCAGTCCATCCGGGGACACACTGTATATTTATATTCAAGTTTGGTGCCGTTTTATATTATTCCTGTGTGTGTCTATCTTCAAACTCAGCGCCATCTACTACCTTCTTATAATGAACACACTTAAAACAGCTTTAAATCTCTAAGTTTTCTCTTGGAATTGCGTGAAACATCAGCTGAGGTAGTTGTATGTTTTATAACTAGTAAAAATAACTAAACTGTAAATGTTGTACCGCTTTCTGTAGAGAATAGGTATCAAACATTTGTCTTTTAGTTCCAGGTTTTGGAAGTTCGCAATAACCGGATCCAAATATAACGCAGAACTTAAAATTTGGTCCTGTGAAACGTGGAGCTGTTTACAAACTATCAAGTTCGTACCTAACCCGACGTGTCCTACGTCTCAGTTATTATTAAAAGCCCGTCTAGATATGACAGGTCAATATTTGTTATTATCTGATATTAATAACAGAATAATGTATGTCCTGCAACTAGAGAAACACGATTCCGAAAGAGTTGCAACTGTGATATCTATTTCAGAATTTTTATTACCTGCACCAGTTTTGAGCTATTGCATTACAAGTGCAGAAATTTGTAAATTTCGCTACACAAGTAGTTCTGATGATCTGTGTTTATGTGAAGCTAACGAAGATGAAACTAACATATCCGCTATTGTTATAAAATTGTATGTGGTTCAACCCAAAAAATTGCAGGAGTGTAATATTACCTATCAACCTGACAGTCTTTCGGTTCAGAATAACAGTGAAATGTTCACATTAGATTCATCCACAGACACACTAATTAACTTGAACGAGAATAAGGCGGACGACTCCAGCGCCAAAGACCTACCTAAATTGAACGATTTGCAAACGTCTGTAAATTATTTAATCCAACAACAAACGGGCCAAGCTGCTTTAAATTTAATGACTCCGGACGCGTTCAGTTCGCCAATTCAGAACAGTCCCACTAACAAAAGAAATTCGCACGGCAGTAACTCGACCTCCCCTATCATGCTTAAGCCAGAAAAGATATCCGAAGATGTCAAAATTGAAAATTTAATGGACGCCGATGACGTACTTCAGTTTGACAGACCGCTAAAGGAAAACTACGCCAGCGCCGGCTCCAGTCCGAGCCGCGAAGTGCAAGAGATTTTATCGTTTAAAAACAGCCAGGAGTATTTCGAAAACCTTACCAAAGACACTAGTCCCGAAATCGAAACTAAAAATAATTTTAATCAAACTGACAATTTGATGTTTAACGAGAACAGCAGTAGCGAAGTGGTTTGGCCCAATATTCCTATTATGAAAGCGAATGAAATAGTTGAAGAGGAGAATCGCAAGCTGGCGGCGGCCGAAAGTATTACCGACAATCGAAATGACTTAGGTAGTGATAAAACTCACCTTCAAGAGATCAATTTGCGTTTAAACAGCTTGGAGAATCTGATCCGTGACCAACACGCTCACATTCAAAAATTACAACAAGAGGTGAATAAAAATAATATAAAAGATGACTTGAGGGGAATGTTCGCAAAGGAATTGGATGTGGCCTTGTCCAGAAGTCAAATTCAACAGGCGAAGTTGTTTGAGAATTATGTAAATATACAGAAAAGTGTAGAGCAAGAGCACATCGAAAATCTTATAGCGAGTACCACTCAAATTTTAACAAAACAAATAACGGAGAAGTTACAAATAATTATCGGGCACGATATAAAGAATATCGTTTTACCTTCCATAATGAATACGTTTGAGAGTTTAAAACATCAATTGTTTGTCGAGTATACACAAAAATTAACTAATACCGATCACCTTTTGAAAGATAATATTTCTAAGCTAGTTACCAGCAAAGTGAGTAGAAATATTCTTACGTTATAACAAGTCTGAACTGTTTGCGTATTTTTATAGGCCGTGGCGGATTCGTTGAGTTTATCCATAGTAAATATAATAAAACCAAGTTTGGAGGAGTGTTATAAGGAAATGATGGGTACAACACTTATTCCATCCTGGGAACGAGTCTGCGGAACAATGTTTCAACAAATTCATGACACCTTTACTAAAGGCACTAAGGAATGTAAGTACTATTGTATAACCTACAATCACGAGATTCTAGTCTCTTTGGACACTCATTACTCACTAAATATTAACCAGTTACCTCTGTCCGTCCATCTGTGTACATGATAACCCACGAATGGTTTCGAATTTTCCAATTCTGTCTTCAGTAATTAGGTAGATAATGGTCAAGGGACTAACCGATTAAAGTTTGGTTATTTAGACTTTCTGTCCGTCTGTCTGTGCTGGTTGCTCGTTGTCTATATTGATTTTAACAGTTTATTCCTATATTTCAAACACGTTAAACGTCATGATGTAATACTACAAAACTAATCTTTTAGACACTGCGTCAGTTGAAAACTACATGGATAAACAAAGACACGCGCAAGATAAAGGTGCTGATCTAATAAGTCAAATGCAAAAGGTTTCCGATAACATAAAAAAAAATTCAGACAAGCTACCTGCCAATGTTTCTCAAGAAATTGAAAAGCAACTAAACATTTCTTTTGCCAAGTAAGCATTCTTGTTTGTTAATTTTTTGTGATTCTTAACTTTTGCGTATTTAGCATGCAGGACAGATTAACACTCATGTTGGCGAATTTGGTGAGTGAGCAAGTGAAATTGGGCTTTAAGAACCATGCGGCAATACTGGAAGATAGCGTTATTAATGCTGTTCGATCGAGAGCAGTAACACCATCGCCGCATGTGTTTGATTCTCAGGTATGTCTATTGGTGAGGTCACTGTTTGCTGGTTTGCAGTAACAATTTTACATTTGTTGTAGGCGCAGTTGGCACACATTCAACAACTGTTAGGCAAAGGACAAATCGATGTGGCCTTTCAGCAAGCTTTGTCAGCATCCGATTTATCCTTAGTAGTACATGTCTGCGAAAAAACGAATCCTCAAGAAGTTTTCAAAATAGGAGGTTGCTTACTCACACAGCCTGTCATTTTGTCGTTAATTCAACAGTTAAGTGCAGACTTAGTTAGAAACACTGAATTGAAACAAAAGTAGGTTGTGCTATTAACGAAACAGTGATATCTTTATTCCCATTCATTTTTAGGTATATCGAAGAAGCCGTTTTAAGTTTGGAGCCTACTAATTTAATAACGAAAGAGCACATGCCTATTGTGCTAAAAGAATTACAACAAAACCTAAACAATTTCATATCTTCGCATCCTAATCATAGCTGTGTAAGGAATATGCGAAGGTTGCATTTGATGACGCAGTCGTTACTGACTCCCTGAAATTTACTTTTATTAGAATTTCACATATTGACCTAACTCCAGAATATTGATTTATTAGAACTTATTAATAAATAGAAGTAATTATGTCGTGTTAGTATAATGAAGTTCATGTTTTGTTTTACTTGTATTGTTTACAAAGAGACTGTATTATAGGTTATGTTGGTATAACATTTAGAACTATTGTAACCATTTGTCACCGTTTTGTATTTTTTTAAATAAATTAGAGTTGTGACATTGATCTGTTAAGGTTTCTACTTTTCTTCGTGTAGGTATTACCTCATTTGTTTACTGTACTAATCTAATTGTTGAAATTTATTCTGTTTTTGTTGGTGACCCGGCATTAGGGCTTAGGCCGCTGTCATTAGGTTGCAGACAGGACAGATCCTAGGGTAGGACGAGATGTTAGAACACATATACAGATGAAATAAGTAAAATAACATTGGTTTAATTTAATTATACCTTTTATCATACCTGCTTTGTAAGGGGACCTACATGATGCTTGCGTTCTAATGTCTGCATCCCAATATCTACGTCCCAATGTCTGCGCCCTAATGTCCATGGCCTAATGTCTGCGGTCCAATGTCCGCGTCCTAATATCTTGCGCCCCAATGCCATAGCGCCCTTTTTGTTCTTTGTTCAATAATGCTAAACATTACAGATTTTGTTGATTTATTTGCCGGTCATTTACGTAAAATTTTCCCTCTATCTCGAAATTATTCCCTAAAAGGTGAGAGGTTCCATCCTGTATTATACACCTTACGATGATACATACATTTTTGAGAGTTGGCAACCATGCAATTTCTAGGTGGGGAACATAGATATAAAATATATAAATACCTAGATACAGCCATCCTTAACAAACGTACCTCGGTTTTAAAAAACATATCAAAGAAATTTGTACATCTCTCCATTACTTTCTAACCAAGAAGAAACATGTTCTATCGCTTTTTATTGCATTAACCACTATGTCGTACGCGAATCGGACGCTTAAAACAAACTTCGCGCGTCCCATAAGTCATGTGACAGTTGACACATTTCACGATCGCGCGAAATCAAATCTAACTAAAAATATTCGCCCTAAACATGATGGGCGGTTTTTTCCCTAAATATTATGTGATTATTGCGTTATCAATTGAATACGAATAACATTAGTGCTTGCCATAATGATAGACGCGTCCATAATTGTTATTCCTGAAATAGTTTTATTACATAGAGCTACGCCATTCAAATTTGGGACATGTTTACCTTGTTTGGCATGATGTGCTGCAGTGAATTCATTGCTGGCTTGTAGAATATCAAAAAAAACCGTAAGTAAGTAAAGTTTATGTTCAACAATTTAATTTTAATTGCATGGTTGTAGGCGTAATGGTTACGAAGATTAAGTTGCGACAGGAAGTGAATTCGTTTCCAATTATCATTTTGGCCTATATGATGTTGATGCAGTGCGTTTGTATCATGATCACAGGATCCGTGCAATATTCTTAGGAAAACGAGATTTATAGACTGTGTGTGCGTGCAATATCAAATTTTGGTCGCTACGCGTCTTGCCTACCTTTCGGCATATGTCCAATCGGTGGAGTTTCTTTTTTAAATTATAGTGCTAATTGTAGTAAGTAAGCTACACGTGTACATTTATTTAAAATAAATACAACATCTTAGCAATGATATCCAATTGGTGATAATACTCATTTAGTGAACATTCATTACATTTATAAAGTTCACAATCCGAATCATCGTCAGATGAAATTGACAAATCCGAATCATCACTGTCATTATTAACACTTATTATAAAGTTCAGAAACATCAACCAATATAACTTCTCTTTTAAATTAATCACTTTCCACATGTTCACACACTTTCTTCCATTTGTCAGCTGTAATTTTTTCAAATTCTTCATTTTCCAGCTTTCTAAGTAACATCTTCCATTTTAAATGTAACATTTCTTGCTACTATGCGATTTAAATAAATAAAAAGGCGGTTTATTTATGTTGTAAAGTCTCAAATCTGATAATTTTCTGTGTGATTTGTGCTAACAATTTGATTGACAGCTATAATAAATAATGCGAATCTTGTCTTCCATGCTCAGGGTACCTCTATAAAGGATAGCGCTATACGTAATTAATGTGCCGAAAGTGATGGTAATAGATGGTACGTCCTTTTGAACTATGTTGGGGTATGGCTGTATCTATGTATTTATATATCTATGGTGGGGAAAAGCTGCCTGCGCCATCTAGAAAGCACGAACGGGGGTTACGTTTGTCATCTTCACAGAATATTACTGTTCTGTGGGCATCTTGTCTTGAATGGTGGTCGTGAACGCGTCGCTCTGTAAATGTTTGTTGTTATTTAATGCAGGTAGTAATTTTTTGCATTTCTTTATATCGTATTTGTGTTTTGTATGCCGCATTTTATATTTTTGTGTTTGAATCCTTGTTTTTGAAATTTACTTGGTTTAACCGCAATGCAGAATCACATGTGTGATACCGTTATGCTATTGTTTGTAATTGTTTATGTTTTTGGTGCTTAATTTATGTTGATTACTTATTCTTGCCCCTGAAGTAACATTCATATAAGTTTTGATCATTTTATTTTAATATGTGGAAATTACCGATTCGTTTGATGTATGTACTGACTTGTTGTTTGTTACTAACAATTTTCTCCGTGAATGAAGCAGTCACAGGGGTGGTAAAAATTGTAGTCAAAATTGAAGTACGACACCTATTTCCATGATTGTCTTCGACATCCAACTGTAGGCTCGAAACCAGGGGCGGGCTACCCACCTTGCAGGAGCGGGATTACGCTAATCAAAGCTCTTCAGTTTAGAATCTATGTGCGATAAATGGGTGGCGATTCAATAATTTCCACATATTTTGTTCTTAGTTAAATTTGCCTACAAAGCCATGTAATTTTCCATCTTACTTTTAACAAAAGGACTTTATTGCACCAAAAATGAGTCACATCCTGTGTAGTTCACCCTTTCTTAGAATCTTGGTACCTGCTTACCTAACCCATAATTTCCAAAACTTGTTTTTAACCTGTATGTTACCTCTTGAAGTTTACCTGATAAGGCCGTATTAGACGATGCAATTTTTATTGCAATCCTTGCAGCAACTGTTGCTGCTATTATTGCAGCAATTATTGCAAAAAGATGCAATGATTACACTATGCAATTTATTTGGCAATTTTTTTATACCCAATTCTAATCATGTATTGGTGCCAATGAAAGTGGAATTGGCATCACTGGGAAATACTTGAAAGCAACTTCACGTCTGTTGTAGACCAGGAAACGTGTGTTTTGTGACGTTTCCTTTGTTGAAGGCCGTGCAATTTATTATTTATATTTGCACGCACTTATTCATACTCATGGCCGTTTGCACCGACAAATTTAAGTGGAGCTTAGCTGAAGCGTAGCTTAAAATCCATGGCAACGATTATTGAGACAATTGTTGCCATGGATTTTAAGCTACGCTTAAGCTAAGCTCGGCTTAAATATGTCGGTGCAAACGGCCATCAGGTTCGTTAAATTCATTGAGTAGGTTTAAGTTTCCCTTTGTGAAATCGTTATTGGCAAGCCACTGCCTGGTCCAAAAATGTCGTCGTCTTCTTTGTTTCTTTTTTTTTAAAAGAGCAACAGCAGACGCAATAACTAAAGATGCGGCAGCAATATCCATTTTTGAATTCCTCGTAAATAGGTTATTTCAGTTTTAACTTTAAATAACAAACCTGTATATAGCATAAGGAGGTAATGTTCTCCAGTGCATACCACTTTATTTTTTTTATAAATTAAATGTTACTAAAATAGTTACTAAATTGCAAGAAAAATAGCACAAGTTCTATAACCAGAAAATTGCAGAATGTCTTGCTGCAATATTTGGCGCAAGAAATTGCACGTGCAATTTTAACATACACGGAGCAATTTTTCGTGCAATTTCTTGCGGCAATGAATTGCTGCAAAAATTGCAATAAAAATTGCATCGTCTAATACGGCCTATACTTTTTGTGAGGTTATAATTTTATGTTACGCATTCACATCATTACAAATAATTAATTTTACAACACAATTTGATATTAATTTGACGGCTGGTTTTTTTTTATTGGTAAGTTCTTTTTTTCCCAGCCTATTTCTATTTTGATTCGGTGAACTACCATTTTCAAAAGTTTATTTTTGCGATGTAATTTATTTTGGACTTAAATTTCCGAGCTTTTACAATCATCGATCATTATTAAACAAACTTTTCACAATTTCAGTGTTTTATTTAACGTTCCCTCTCTACTGTGCTTCAGGTCATAGCGTTGTTTACAACTATAACGTAAGGGGGCCCTGCCTTAGATGTTTGATTACGTGCCACTTTTCAAATTTAAGCGGGATCTTGTTTAGTTTTGGAGGGTGTAGTCATTCGGGTGGCCATTTTTAAGCTTTGCCGGGTTGACTTTATTTCCGTGTTCTTGTAGTGTGAAGTTATCGTAGAACCTGGGGGTTAAGTACACTACAAAGGGAAAACTTTGCATAGGTGTGTAGCCCAGTAACAACATTGAAAATGAACACTCGTGCATGTTGTGCTAAGATGGCGGCTGATTGTCACTTTTTTACCATATTTGTTTAACTGTTGGAAATACGAAAAGTTGTCTTTAATAAAAAGTTGCATTCATTTCTTGTAACTTTTGTCTCATGTCTAATGGTTACGGAGAAAAACTGAAATCAATTGAATTTTGTTCAAATTTCTGCAGTTGAAAGGTTGATAGATTCTCTTGCAACTCCTTGCTTGCTGTGGCTCCATTACAAGTCACTTCACACTTTCGACTTCGAGCGAAGAGCGTTGATCAGTTCCTCGGTCACACCAGTAGCACCAGGATCAATAAAGAAGCTGACCTCTACTGTGCGAAACTCCATGCTGAATATAAAGTTGACTTATAGAAGGATTTTGGTGTATAAAAAGAAAGGTATTGTCTTGGTAATATCCTTACCATATTGAGCAATTGCAGACTGCATCCACACTTTTCGTTTATATTAATTATGTTAACCAAGGCTGGAGATTACTTTGATGTTCATATGTGTACATGCAATTTATCGTTTTACGAGTTGTTTTCGCGCATGGGCAAAAGTTTCATATTTGTGGGCTAATTTTTGTGAACTTTGACCGATATGTACTTCTTGTAAAAACAAATTGAAATCGATGTCAAAAATTGCTACATAGATTGGGTACTTCGCTCAATAAAAGGCGAAGCAATCCATGAGAAGTATTTACAATAAAAGGAAAGTGCTAGGTCTCAACATGCTACCGTGCAGAAGAAAATCATTTTTTCTCCAACCACCTGAATAAGACGCTATTTTGTGACAGTGTTCGGTACCTAAAATTGACGTTTTGCGGATTAATCGCTTTCACCATGGCAACTGTACAAAAAGTGGATACTTTTGGTCCTAGTACCAAAAAGAAATTGACCTTGAAAGTTGGCCAATTAAAAAATTCCAATCACGGAGATATGTCACATTGACATCGTTTTACATTGCAGGTTGTAAGATATTTCTATACATACAAATCAAATATTTTTGCATATTCAATGCAAGTAATGCTGTTACCTATACGTATGCATGTACATGTATTGAAAATGATTTACGCTCGCTATTTTTATTTAAACCATGTGTAACGTAATTTACATATTCGATGAACGTAATTTTAATACGTATACAACCCGCCGTCGCGCGTAACGCCATCTACTTCAGACCCATTGCACTATTATCTGTCATTTTGCATTCAAAATTTGAAAAAGTTAATTGCAATTAATTTTAATTAAAAAACTGTATGGTAAGTTTTTTATTTCAATACAAAATATAGCAATATTAATTGTCTATACAATAGAAATGACTGAAACTGATAGGGACATCGATTGCACTCCGCCAGAGATTTTAGAAACGGCAGAACATGCTACCTCAAGATTTGCTCCCTACAAAGTCGCGAGAGGTGAGAAGTAAGAAGTAAGAACGAATAGGTTATAAGTTAACCTAAAAACTAGAGTGACATGACACGTGAGGACAAGAAAACAGAAGTTCTTATACTAGTAGTGAAACTGGACTGAATCTAATTTCAAATGTAATTTGAAGTAAAGGGGGTTGGAGAAAAAATTTTATGTTTTATTCGTACAAAAAATGCGTTTTCGGGACTCGGAAGGTTGCTGGACTCCGCTAACGCGTCGTCCAGCAACTATCTTCCTCGTCCCGAAAACTGACATTTTTTGTACTAATGAAACAAATAACTATTTTTGTGTCTCCCTGCTTCAAAGCTTTGTTTTCTGTAGCCAAATTAGTCCAGAAAGTTATGATTTGCTGGCCTAGGCCGGCAAAAATATCACTAAAAATTGGTTGGTGGAACTGATTTAATTTGCAATGACAGTTCTAAATTTAAATTAAATTGTAAGAATGATAGGCATATTTTTTGTGCAAATTCCATTTTAAGCACTTTATGGCTTGGTAGGTAACATAGTAATACGTATATGTAAATGCGGTAGGTAAGTACCCTAATCAAGAATTGTAAGTTTCACTTACAAGTTTTCGTTTAGTGCGGTTATGACACTTGTACATGTTTACCGATGGTAAACTTACGGTTTATGGCAAAAAACAGAGAGCTAATTGAAAGTATAGGAAATTGAAGTTTACCTACTTCCACACTCGATGCCAGGAATGCCAACAAATGGTTTCGCATGTAAATTAACGCAGTCAAAAAACACAACACTAAACGGATGAAGAGTAACGACACTATGTTTTGTAATTATTATTATTTCTGCCATTGTTAACATTAAACTGTATACATTATTCCATAAATTATATATCTACAAGCAAGTATATTTCTCTGAAGATGACAGTTTCCGAAAAGGAGGTGTACGCATATGAAAACGGTTTCTTGTCGATATCTATGCTCATATCTATGATGAAAATTTCCGACATCAGTTACTTCCGTGTAGTAAGACCATAATAATCAAACGACACTGCATACACCAAATTGTAGATTTGCACGGAGCAATCATCGGCCCTCTTGCTGCTCTCCTCGTAATCGACAGCCAACGAGAAGTAGATATCCAAACAAACTTGTTATCATTCTTATATGTAATGGAATTAATATGATAAATCAATTTGCAAATGAAAACATTGCAACCCAATTCTCAAAATAGGTGTAAGCCGTAAGCACTAGCTGAAATTGAAATAAATTTCAAGGTTATGTTTCCCATTGAAATCAACTTACTACTTATTAGTTTTAGCGCAGCTTCTTTTAAATGTTATGAACTTCTTAAGACTGGGCTAAGCGTTTTAGAAATTTGTAAAAATAATTAAATTAACGTAAATGCTTTGTTTATTCATTTAATCACAATTAATGTGGAATAAACACTGGTAAATATCGGTTGTGAATTGACATGCTTGTGCTACCAACCGCCAACTGTCTGTGCTACCAACATAACATCGAAATATTGGAAATTTGAATGCAAGTATGACGGCTTAATTATAGGAGGTAGAAATATAAATTTTAAAATGAACGTTGTTCCCTCAAATTTTTTACTTCGACACAAAAAATCTTGTGTATTACACGTCCATAAAAATGTTTTGCGAGTATTCGTATTGCAGGCCTCAGCTCCGCTTCGGCCTGCAACCTTACTCACACTCGCAAACATCCATTTTCTGGACTTGTGATACAAATAACATTTGTTTAAAGGCAGTGTTTTGACGGCTTGCCAACATTAAGGTGTCATGATATCATACCAACTATGTCCAATGTCCTCAATTTCCTAGAGATAAAAATGTAACGTAGGTACGTACATGCAGTGCCAGATTTACAGCTAAGCCCACAAGGCCCGGGCCTAGGGGCCCCAGTGTGTAACGGACCTTGATATAAATAAACCAGCAAACGGCTGGGCTTGTCTCATCAAAACAGTCGCCAATATTATCCAATCCTACAGGTTTAAAGCGAAACGAGTGAAACGACGATATTATTTGAGCCTACTGTGATGCGAGCTCATTTATTGTCGATGAATGAAGTTAGAGTTTTCTTTTTTGAATCTATACAAATACTTGTTGGAAAAAGGCTTTTTGGACATTTATCCAAACGTAGGAATTGCGCTCCGAATGCTGTTGTGCACACCCGCGTCAAACTGCTCAGCAGAACGGTCGTTTTCCGCGCTAAAAAGAATAAAGACTTTTTTAAGATCTAATATAGAAAAACATAGATTAAATTAAATTCACTCTCTGTAATGTACATAGAGTCGGAAATAATGCAGTCTATTGACTATGACGACGTCATCCGCTCTTTCGCAGAGAAGAAAGTTCGCCGTATGATTGTATAGATTTTAAGGACCTAGCTATGATGATTATTAGAGTAATTAAATTCTTTTTTAAAATATACATTTTGTACTGTGCCTTTAATTCCCTGAATTTCTAAAATGACTGCGGGATAAGGGCCAGGGGGCCCCCAAATTTCAAGTGCCTAGGGGTCCTGGGTCTTTAAGTCCCGGCACTGGGTACATGTTGATAAAGTAACCACAACCATCGAAAAAAATACGAAAACAACATCGATGACCACATATATGAATCAGAAACACATTTCACATTTCCTGGAACGTAACGACTGCAAAAATATTCACAACAATCAACTACACAGGCTAGAAGTGTATGTAAATCGCGAACTTTGCACGAGACTTACGAAAGAACTCTCGTAATTAAAAAATTCTACTTACCTGGAGTTTCCATATACGCATGCGTCAAATTCGAAACACGCCGCAAATCGCAACAGTTTCCGTTTGAGATTCAGAACTCGAGAAGAATAAAATTAAACAAGCCACATCTACTAGAATAGAAACGCGAATTGTATGACTAAGTCAACGGCCCCTTCATGTGCAAACGGGCGGCGTGTTTAATTTAGAGGACATTTAGATTATTAGAGCAACCGATGATAAATTAACAAATAAACTCACCACGCCGTAGGAAAGCTGTATGCACCACAACAAAACGCAAAACCGTTGCACTTTCGTTGCAACCTGCATTTTACACCCAACGACAAACTTAAAGGGCAGAAATAAAATGGGCGTATGCCGGTCTCCGGCTGTGGCACGCGAAGCACGCCCCAGCCAGACAACTCGCTCGCAATCGCACTCGCACTCCATCCAAACTTAAGGGATGCTGAAGTATTGATTGCATCATTCGAGATGCTTTTCACATCCGAAATTTGCGTATTATTCAATGTATTATTGTAATATACCTACACTTATAATTAAAAAATAAATTGTATTTACCTCGGTATTTACCTATGTGTAAGGGGTGAAAATAACACCCAAACATCTATTTGGGGATTACCTAAACATTTGTAATAATACTGTCTCTCTTTCTCCAATAACATAGGTATAGGATAGGAATCGCGACGACGCGACGCGACGCTTTAAATACGAAAACCCTTTAAAATTATCTTTTGGCAGTGTAATTTTATTAAAAGACAGAGTTGAAACTTGATGTGACTGTTCGGCCAAAATTGTGAAATGAACTGAACGAGAATGGTCCTCTTACACTTTATCTGAATTTGGTTTGCACGTTTAATGGTTCAATTTAGATAAATGTGCTACCACAGTGGCGTGTAATGCGATTATATCTGTTTTTAGCGCATTTTTGCAAAAAATTTTTTTTTGTAAAAAGTAGCTTTTAATCTCACTTTGGCTGGCTGGCTGGCTGACAGTAAATGCGCGCCCGTAGAAAAACGCTTGTAAAAAGACAAGGAGTGTACATGTAACTATCGGGGCCATGTAATTAAGAACGTTAGGGATGGGGCTACAAGATTTGGAGTCGACGACATCTGGACGCCATCCCCGAGCGTATTATACTAACCTGGAGATTTTTCAGTTTTTATCTATCTTCTTCTACAGTTTTTCTCCGATTGTTTTCAAATTGGTGTCGTCGGGAAGATCTTGTCAACGCGCACAACTCCTGCGTGGCGGAATTTTGTTTTTTTTCCTAGGGGCGAAATAAACCACCTTTTGCGCGGCGCGCTTCGAGGGGTAGTCGACTTTGGGCGCCCAAAAGTTTCTTACAGCGCGAATCGCGGTCTCTTTTCTCGTGTCACTAATAGAAGGTCGAGCTATGTGAAGTACCCAAAAGTTGAATACGATTTTATGCCGGGATTTTAGCGAAATCTACCAAAATGTAAATTACGAATGAACGGGACATCGGAACTGTGTATCGACAAAGGGAATGTGGTAACCCCCGACGAGATCTTACTGATGGTGGAGTCGAAACTTCAAATCCGAATTGTTGCGGGTGATCAGAAGTGGGTGTCCACAAAGGGAATATGGTAACCCCCAAAGGATTTTAATGATGGTGGAGTCAAAACTTCAAACGCGAATTGCGAGTGCACGGTAAGTGAGAAAATGGTACCGACAAAGTGAACGTGGTAGCTTTCGTCAAGATCTTATTGATGGTGGAGTCAATATTGGCTAATAAAACACTGATCTGCCACACAAAAATGCGCTGAAGTCCCTTCGATCTCACACGAGGACTTTGATCATTTTTTATAGATGTTTGAATGTTATTTTATTTATGTACCTAAACCTAAACTGCGGTCCAAGGTTTTTGGGTGACTGATTTCATTCTCCATATTGTGCCTGTTTTACAGTCTAATATGAAGAATGAAATCAGTAGAGTCAACCAAAAACATTTAGATCGAGCTATACCAATCAGTATTTACGGTGTTTTCCTGCATGTGTTTTAGGCAGTTACCTAGTTGAACCCATTTAATTATATGGTTCCGTTCCACTCTTCCCAGAAAATGAAAAATTGTATTTTTAGGAAAAAATGTGACACTAAACCGCCATGTGTTATACGCCATGTGTTATACGTCGTTGAGTAGACGTAATCTCACAATGTCAAAATTCTAAATGGCGTCCATAAGAAAAAAATTATCAAAGTCCTCGTTTGAGATCGAAGGGACTTCAGCGCATTTTTGTGTGGCAGATCAGTATTCTATTAGCCACTTTCGACTCAACCATCAACAACAGATCTTGTCGAAGGCTACTACATTCACTAACCGCTTCCCACTTTCCTCGTGCACCCGCAATTCGCTTTTAAAGATTTGACTCCACCATCAGTAAGATCGTGTCGGGGGCTACCACATTTCCTTTGACGGTACCCCCTTCCGACGTCCCGTTCACCCGCAATTCGCGATTGAAGATTTGACTCCACCTTCAGTGAGATCGTGTCGCGGGCTACCACATTCCCTTTTACGGTACCCACTTCCGACGTCCCGTTCACCCGCAATTCGCGTTTGAAGATTTGACTCCACCATCAGGAAAATCGTGTCGGGGGCTACCACATTTCCTTTGACGGTACCCCCTTCCGACGTCCCGTTCACCCGCAATTCGCGTTTGAAGATTTGACTCCACCATCAGGAATATCGTGTCGGGGGCTACCACATTCCCTTTGACGGTACCTCCTTCCGACGTCCCGTTCACCAGCAATTCGCGTTTGAAGATTTGACTCCACCATCAGTGAGATCGTGTCGCGGGCTACCACATTCTCTTTTACGGTACCCACTTCCGACGTCCCGTTCACTCGCAATTCACTTCCTATTGGCGACACGAGAAAGAGAGACAGCGATTCGAGATTCACGAAACGTTAAACCGCGTGAGTTCGCAACGGAAGGTAAAAGGCGCCTGACTACTTCTCGAAGACGCGCGCGCGCCTCGCAAAAGGTCGTTAATTTCGCCCCTATGACAAAAAACAAAATTCCGCCACGCAAGAGTTGTGCGCGTTTACAACATCTTTCCGACGACACCAATTTCAAAAGAATCGGACCAAAACTGTAGTAGAAGATAGGAAAAAACTGAAAAACCTTCACGTTAGTATACTACGCTCGAGGATGAAGCCCAGATGTCACCAACCCCACATCATGTAGCCATGTCCCTAAGGTTGACAAATTTCACGGCCCTGTAGATACACGTACACCCGTTGCCTTTCTACAAGAGTTCTTCTACGCGCCCACATTTGCTGCCAGCCAGCCAGCCAAAGTGAGATTAAAAGCTACTTTTTACAAATAAATTTGCAAAAATGCGCTAAAAAGAAAGAACAGAATCGTAACCGAGACCTTTAAAAAATAATTCTATTGTCCATAAAAAATGTCTTAATGTTTTAGTTAGTACGATTAATTTATCATGAAAAAATTAATACTAAACTATTGAATGTCTTTTCAGATTATTATTCTACACGAAAATTCGCAACTTTACCCTCATTTAACCAACTTTCTACCTCTTAAGGTAAGCGAGATGTCAATAGTGGGGTGAGTGGCACTCAAACAGTTGACACCCTGATTATATTTTATCGTTAATAATAATAACTAATGTCATTGAATAATAAATCTGAATATAAGAAACGTTTTTAAGGCCAACATTTCAGAAACAAATTTTCAAAAGCAACATTATAAAAGGGGGGGGGGTGGAGAAAACCGAATA